AATATTGAGTGAGAGTTGTCTGACTATATGTACATGTCAAGATTTAACCTAAGCATGATGACTGCCTTAAGATGAGTTTCATCTCATCCTGCAGCCATCTCCTACAAAACAGTCAGAAGGATCATAACCTAAAAACCCTTAATTGTAAAGAGAACTCTGGTTGATGACGTCAGATATAGACATATAGACCTCACTTGCCCAGAATTAGGTGATACAAATCACTCAGCCAGAGAGATCCCAACTCATCCCAACTCAGCCAGGCCTACAAGGCAAAGCATTTCAAAACATGAGCCACAAGACCCAGCTGCTGCCTTTTTGGAGGAAGGGAGCTCCTTTAGGAGATGGTGGGAGGAATCATCAACTGGTTAGTGATACCATTTCAAATAGGTCGCCAAGTGGTGTCTCTTAATTCTGTCTTTGAGCTTCAAATCATACAGTCATAGAATGCCTTGAATTAAAAGGCACATTAAAGGTCCTCTGGGTCCAAGCCCCTTGCAGGGACACCTTCCCTAGAGCAGGCTGCTGAGGGTCTCATCCAGCCTGGCCTTGAACACTTCCAGGGATGGGGCATTGGCCTGTTTCAGGGCCTCATCATCCTCACAGTAAAGAATTTCTTCCTAATATCAAATCTAAACCTACTCTCTTTCAGTTTAAAACCATTCTCCTTTTTCCTATAACTACACGCTCTTGTAAGAAATCCTCTCTCCAGCTTTCCTGTAGGTTCCCTTCAGGTACTGGAAGGCCAGCAATTAGTTCACCCTGAAGCTTTCTCTTTCCCAGGCTGAACAATCCTGATTCCCTTAGCCTTTCCTCATAGAAGAGGTGCTCTAGCCCTCCAATCATGCTGAAACTGGAATAGAACCAGTGGGAGCAAATCTCCATCCTGCACTGGGGTAATGAACTGGTAATCATAACAGCCTAAAGGCATCTGTGTCTGCACTGACTAAAGTAAATAGGTCTTGCTCATCAAATCAGAAAAGACGCTCAATCATAGGTGAGTTCTGCTCACTCATTCACTTTCTGTGAAGCCAATACCAGTCTGGAACCTTTTCTAATATATGCATGTCTCACATCTATTTTTTTCTGCTTGAGGCAATGGAAGAACAAACAAATATGACACAATGATGTTATTAAGCCATAAACAGCCCCAGAGCAAGGAGGCAGACCTTTCAGAAAATAAGCATCCCAAACCCACCATTTTTTGGGAGTTTTATCATATAAATTGGATTTACCTAACTAGAAGGAGATTAGCTTTTTTTTTTTTAAGTGTAATACCTAAAGCTAATTTCCTTCATCACTGAGAATAAGGCCACTAGTGAATGCAAACTCTTCCATAGTGAATGATAGCTCTACATTTTATATAATGCATTTGAAAATCACTCTCAACGTGATTAAAGCCTTTTACTTCTTATATATATTGATCTTGGCTATCACTGGGGAGTGATCCTGTAACTTCTAGATCATGCAATATAGTCTTTATAGTCTAAGCAAAGGGAGTTAGTATTTTCCTTTACAGTTATCAAACACTTCATACCTTCTGCAGTTCAAGCACAGCCAAAGATATGCAATACATACCATGGAGAGGTTATATGCAAACACACAGAGTGATGAACCCTCAAAAGTACATTCTGCTTTGGCTTTTCTAGCTCTGCACAGAAGCTGATAACCTTGAATGCACTGAAATAACTTAAAGTTACTGTGAGGGGCCAAAAAATGCTTCAAATGGTTTTATAAAGTATTAAATTTATACAATTGAGAAAAGTTTAAATTGCTTTAAATTGTTTATTTTAAAAATGTAGAACATCTTAAAATACATTGCTTTAATTATTTAAAAGTGCTTCAGCTGCTCAAACTTAGTTACTTTAATTTGAAAAGCCTGTTGAAATATGCATAGATTTAAAATCTTTTTTAAATTGATCGAAAAAATTCCTTAATTCCTATTTTTCATTAATTAAAAATATTTTTCATTCCAATTGTTCTAAATGCAATTTTCAGCTAAGAATGCCCATGTGCCTTTCATTTCAAACAGTACAGAGCCACAACAACAACGTAAACTTTATTTTTATTTTGGATCTTTGTTAAAAAAGAAATAGAAGAAAAGGCAGATCACAAGTCCATATTCTCTCCTTCTGTGTACACACAGTACACAGACTATCAATGTGGCCTTGCCTCCTCATGGTACTGTGGTTTTTTCTAAGTTTGAGCTCCAAAATCCAGTCTCTGGAAGTTAATTTCACAGGGTGAATTTTTGAAGAAAGTTTTCATGTTTCTTCAGTAGAATTTGCCTTTGCCTCAGAGCCTGAAGGGAGTATTGTGATCACCTTGCTGGCTTAGTCAGAGGTTCAAGATCCTACCTCCATGCAAAATACTAATTTTGAATGAACACAGAACACTTCTGAGGGGCTCATCCACTACTGGCTTAAAGAACATTTATGAAGTCCATTTAAGTGGCCTCTTACTCTTCTCTTGGATAAGATAAAGGGACTTCCCTCTGCATGCACTGAACATAGGTTTTCTAGGTTTTATTCTTGTAATAAGAATAGCAGTGCATTTTTCATTGTGCTACCTCCTGAAAACCTTCCAGCCTCTCAAGATCCTGTTGGCATTTCTCATGCTAGATCTAGACAATCACACAAAGGTCTTTCATGTTGCCTAAACCAAGGAAAGGCTGGTGAAATATTCTATAAGCAACTGGCTGATGTTTCATGATCGCTAGCCCTTGTTCTTGTGGGAGACTTTAACTTGCCAGATGTCTGCTGGAAACTCAGCACAGTGAAGAGGCAGTCTAGGAGGTTCCTGGAGCGTAAGGAAGATAAATTCCTGACGCATCCTGGTGAGTGAGCCTAGCAGGGACAGTGCCCTGCTAGATCTGCTGTTTATGAGCAGAGAAGGGCTGCTGGGAGGTGTAGTGGTCAGAGGCTGCCTTGGGCATAGCAACCCCAAAATGACAGAGTTCACAATTCTTGGTGAAGTGAGGAAGGGGTCGACAAAACCTCTGCCTTGGACAGTCCTTAATAACAAAGGAGTCCAGGAGAGCTAGACACACTTTAAGAAAGACATCTTAAAAGCACAGATGCTGGCCATCCCCATGTGCCAGAAGATGAGCCGATGCAGGAAGACCGGCCTGGGTGAACAGGGAGTTCTCACTGGAAATCAGAGAAAAAAAAGGAGTTGATGACCTTTCCAAGAAGGGGCAGGCAACTCAGGGAGAGTAGAAGGGTGTTGTTAGGCCATGTAAAGAGAAAATTAGAAAGTTGAAAACTCAGCTAGAGCTCAATCTGGCAACTGCTGTGGGAGGTAATAAAAAGTGTTTTTATAAATAAATTAACAACAAAAGGAGAGCTAAGTAAATTCTCTATCCTTGGATGTGGGGAAGGGGGGAACATTATAACCAAGTACCAGGAAAAAGGCTGAGGTATCTGTACTTTCTTTGCCTCAGTCTTTAACAGCAAGACTGGTTATCCTCAGGGCAATATGCTGAGCTGTCAGACAGGGTCTGGGAGCAGATCAGAACCCCTGCAATCCAAGAGGAAGCAGCTAGTGACCCATTCTGCTACTTGGACACTCACGAGTCTATGTGAGTACAAAGGACATGGCTGTGCTGCTGACAGCAGCTGAACAGGATCCAGGGTGTGCCCAGGTGGCCAAGAAGGCCATTGCCATCCTGGCCTGGAGCAGCAATGATGTGGCCAGAGGACCAGGGCAGGGATTGTCCCCGGTACTGGGCACTGGTGAGGCCACACCTCAAGGGCTGTGTCTAATTCTGGGCCCCTCACAACAAAAAGGCAGACATTGAGGGGCTGGAGCGTGTCCAGAGAGCTGGGGAAGGGTCTGAGGAGCCACACGAGGAGGGGCTGAGGGAGCTGGGGTGTTCAGCCAGGACAGGAGGAAGCTCGCAGGGACCTCATCATTTTCCAAGCGCCTGAAAGGAGGCTGTAGCCAGGTGGGGGTCAGCCTCTTCTTCCAGGCAGCCAGCAACAGGACCAGCAGAAATGGCCTCAAGCTACACCAGGGGAGGTTCAGGCGGGACATCAGGATGAATTTCTTCCCTGAAAGGGCTGTCAAGTACTGAAACAGACTGTCCAGGAAGGTGGTGGAGTCACCATCCCTGGAAGTGCTCAGGAAATTACTGGATGTGGCACTTAGTGCTCTGGTTCAGTTGACATGATGGTGATCAGTCAAAGGCTGGATTCAATGCCCTTGGAGGTCTCTTCCAATCTTAATGATTCTATGAGTCCATTATCATATTAGGAGCTCAGATTGTGTTACCTCTGAAACAGATATACATCTTTCTTTCAAAGCTGCATTTTTAGCATTCAGCCCATCCTTCAAATGTTTCTCTTCTTAATGAGAACTCTTTTTTTTTTTCCTCAAGGCAAGACTGTCTCCCATTTATTCACATTAAAATTAAAAATTTAATATTTTTGATTGCAATCTCTATGTCACACAAAAAGATAATTATGCATAAATAACTATCCAGCATTGTTACTTAATGTGATATGATGTGATCTACAAATTATATTCTGACTATCAGCAAGGGTGAAAACTTAACCTTGCAGCTCTAAATACCAAGTATTGCTTAAAAGAAATTAAACCAATTATTTTTAAAGTGGATACTTTATTAGCCTTCAGTTAATTAATAGCACTCTGCCTATACTAACCAACCACACTAGGAAGTTTGATAATGTTCCACACAGAACTCACTACAAAACCACTACAGTTAAACTGAAAAAAAAAATTACTTACAGTTCTTAAAAATAATAATTAGTTCTATGGACAAAGGTAAATTTATAGTCTCCAGAACAGTAAAACTTCAATAGTTATGTGATATAGCTATCATATATGAAAATGCATGCAATCACTTCATATGAGGTCAAAACCTCATAAAATATAGATTGCTTGTCTGTATAATCTTGAAAATCATCTACAGACTTCTCCTGTAAACATTAAGCTATTGGATGATAAAAATCTGACAGTTCTAGGCACTGACCATTACTCACCCTTGAAGGTCTCACTGCAGTATAAATGACTGAAAAATTAATCCCTCGTTCCTGCAGATCCATGGTCACTCTTCCAATTATTTTGTCTGTAAATATAAACATATAATTCAACAAACTCGGTATGCTGAGAAAGCTAAAATCCTACAGTAATTGGAGAAGTAATGAGCTAGATGTTTAAGCTTATTCAGTTTGTTTAAGCAACTTAAGTGCTCATTCTATCTAGGTACAAATGGGATAAGACAGTGTCTTGAAAAATGCACAATTTCAGTGAGATGATTTTAAAAAAATACAACACTTCAGAAAAAGGGGTGATTTTGATGCTGAAAAGTAAAACCATGGAAAATATACCCAAAAAGTTTGAACTTTGGACGATTAAAAGCAGGAGCAGGAGAAATCACTTCAGAGGTTTCTTTTCTTTCTTTAAGACAGTATATACTGTTAGTCAAGTGTTTAATAAACAAATAATGAAATTTAAGCAGTGTTCTGTGAATTACAAATACACATAACTATCACTGAGAAACTCAAAACATGGTGTTTAGTGTGGGGCATGGTACGTATAATACTGGTAGCAATATTTCTTTTGCCTTCTGTGGATTTAAAGCCTGCTTATGCACCCCCAAGAAGACACAGAAAATTTTCATTTTCAGGCCAAAGGAGAAATATGTTGAAGTATTTCTGAACAAGGAAGAAGAAGTCAAAAAAGGAAGAGAGGGCCTTTCAAAGAGGTCCAAATATGCCTCTACAAAAGATCCTCTTCTAGTTCTGAAACCACAGGCAGCGGCAATAAATGCTTACAACTGATAAATGTTTTCAATATTTGTGCAGAAACATGAACATCTGCTAATAAGGAGCACAATAGTTGTGAATCATGATCCATTATTAGTGTTGTTATTGGGACTGCTTGAGAAGCAAGCAAGCAGAGTCATATTTACTGTTTCAGTGCCTTCCCACTTCTCCTTCATGTACCAGTCTGGTGGATGGAGATTTTGTAACCTGGACATACAAACTTCTCAGATTTTGAGGTTATACTTTAGAAATTGTGTTTTATTTGTATTTGCTGAAATTAAGAGTTTATATTGTTATCCTCTTTAACCACTTCTATTTACTGTAATTATGGTGTCATGGCTGAGTAAAATATTTGGCTTTTGTAAGAATTCAAGTATTGCTTTTTTCTGTAGGGTTTCAGCTGAACTGATTTCCTCATATCAGTCAAGAATCATAGCTATGTGAATTTTCCTTCTCAAAATTATTGCTAAGAGAATCTACTGTGAGAAATGTACTTACTCAGAAAAACAACTGCCTAAAACTACTGCCATAATTACACTGGTTGTGGAGATCCAAGGCATTATATAACGTTGATTTTATAATCTGGATTCATAGATTTTGGAAATTCTCTTCAGCCTTAGCAAAAAATTGCACAAAAAAAGTAATATGTATAAAAATGCAGAGATTGACTGGGTTTTCTTTCATTAAAGCAACCAACAGCTTTCTGAAGTTAACATGTTATTTGCATTTCCCTTCAGAAGGGAGATACATGTAACTATAGTTACCAGTAACATCTGTAATTCCTGCCTTCAGGAAGATTCTAGACGTAACTTCTTTGTCCAAAGAAGCTTCTGTGAACATCCTTATGACAATGGGGTTGATATAGATCTCTTGTTTGCCTGTGATCAGACTATACCTTTCTTATGATGTATTTTCAAATTCTCCAGAGAAAAGAGCTCAGACTGTCCACCATGTTTTAAAGCACCTAAATTAGATGCCTACCTGGGAGCAATAGTGCAGATTCTATACTTGGCCAAGCAAAGCAGCATATTTTCCCTAATCCACACACCTTCTTCCCTATTAAAACCTAGTTGATGCTAGCCAAGAAGTTGGCATAGCTTTTTCTTCCATCCTCCCACAGATCACCTCTTAACTTTGCTTTCCCAAAACAAAGTGGACAGCGGTTGCTTGAGTCTACAGTGTGCCCTGGCAGCCAGGAGGGTTAACCCTGTCCTGGGGGCATCAGGCACAGCATTGCCAGCCAGGCAAGGGAGGCAAGCTCTACTCTGAGCTGAGATAGCCTCACCTTCAGTGCTGGGGCAATTCTGGCTGCCTCCAGGTAAGAAGGATAAAAAGCTATGGGAGAGTGTCCAAAGGAGGGAAATGAGGATGGTGAAGGGTCAAAAGGGGGAAAGGAGCCTTATGAGGAGTGGCTGAGGTCACTTGTTCAGCCTGGAGAAAAGGAGAGAGGGGAAATCTCATTGCAGCTACAACTTCCTCGTGAGGGGAAGAAGAGGGGCAGACACTGCTGATCTCACCACTCGTGACCAGTGACAGGAATCAAGGAAATGGCATGAACCTGAGTCAGTGGAGGTTTAGGCTGGATATCAGGAAAAGGTTTTCTACCCAGAGTACTGCAATGGAGCACCCTAGAGAAGTGGCAGAGGACCAAACCTGACATAGTTCAAGAAGCATTTGGAGAATACAGTCAGGCACATGATGTGATTCTTGGGGTGTCCTGTGTAGGGCTAAGATGGACTCTGATCCCATTTGGTCCCTTCCAACTCAGCACATTCTATGATACTACAATTCTAGGGCTTGGGAAGTTTATCCTTGAATCCATGCAGCTGATGAAAGAAATGTCCCATAAAGACAAAGCCGCTATTTGGCCAAGACCAACATTGAGCCAAGGCTCAGCTACCCAGTATGCTCTGGGGACAAGAAAATAGAAAAAAATAACTCCTCTGCAATTCAGAGATGAAAACCCAACTGCTTGTTTTAGTATAAAACCCACTCATTTTGGACTAGAACAAAAACAAACAGAAAAGGATACACAACTAAGGTATTTTCCTCCGATTTTCAAATCTGCTTTGATTTTACAACCCCAGTTCTGAGCAGAAACAGTCATAGCCACCAAGAACACTGTTTAATTATCAGCCCACTACACTGTAAACCTCCAAAGCTACCACTTCAGTGATTTGCATGCTTTATAATTTGATTTCTAATTTAGAGTAGTAAGTGAAAGCTCTGCAATGAGATGCCTCTCAGTGCCATTTTCATGTATGGCATCTCTTTTTCAAACAGATGCTAGGCAAGAAACTTTTTTTATAGTATTATATTGAGAGATTCAACTTTAACAAGTAATGTTTAATACACTGCAAAACCAATAAAAGACTGATATCAAAGGCACAGAAGGCCATCAGTATTATAAAGATTAGAAAAACATTTCCTATTCATGCAGACACCCTTTGTTGAGACAAAGGCCCTGGAATTGCCAGATGAGCCTGGCACCTCCAGCTGCCAGTGTGCAAGGTGAGATGGGAGGAGGCAGCTCAAGTTGCACAGGCTTGCAGGGGTTGTGCTCAGAGAATGAGCAAAGGCCCGTGCCTGAAGGAGACGTGAATTTATCAAGCTTACATTTCATGTCCCAGACACTTAGTGTCTGATTAGAACTAAGACAACCAGAGCTTATAGAAGGGGAGTGGGATAAAAGCCTTTAAATGGTAGTAGCAAAGCAAAGCCTGGGGACTAGAGAACGCTACCGGCTCAAGTGAAACCACAAATGATGAAATGTTAGTTATGTCTAGGTACTATTACTTACCATTTTCAGCAATTGCTTCCAGGGTGGAAATCTCTTTTAAATCACTAGAGAAAAAGAGGGAGAAAAATAATTTAAAATCTTTCCTAGGCAAGAATGATGTGAATCAGAAATGTATAAAGATACTGACTGATGAAAGGATTACTGTCAGTCCCTAGTCATTCTTTCATCTTCTCCTAATGACCCTTTTCTTCTGCAAAGCCATTAAAAATGTAAGGACCACATCTTCAGCTGATTCTTAAACCCCTCAAATTTCCTAGGCAGCAGAGAAGCCATACTACTGACAGTATTTTGGTCAGCCTCTGAGAAGCCTTTTTTTTTCATTTGGTGTTGGCCCCTTGTTTAACATTTGTACAGGAGCTCTTTAAAATTGTTATCATGCCTCTTTTTGTGTAGTGATGTGACAGCTAGAATTGCATTTGTTTAGGACACGTTGATATCTGCACTTTACACCAACATGTACAAATGCCCAAGTAACAAGCTGGGAAGAAGAGGAAGCAGAAGGAGCTCAGCAACCATGCCTTTTATTTTCTAAATATACATTCACCTGAAAGAACAGTCTCTCCCTTTCTCTGTTAGATCACAGCCCTCATAGAGCTGGAAACATGGAGAATTAGTCCTCCTCTTCCTTCCATAGCAATGGAAAATTAGGCTGTTTACTTGCTTCAGGTTTGTCTGTATGTTTATTTGCTTGCTTATTTATCTTGCCAGTATTTTTGACCCCTGGAATGCCTTCTAGCAATTAATTCTGCAGGTAAATCATGTGTCGAGTAAAATAATTGAGCCTTTCTGCTAAAAAGTGCATTGCCATTTAGTTTTATTAGCTGCCCCTTTGTTCATATAATGAGGCAGACAAAATAGGAATGCCTGACTGCCTTTCTCAACATAATTCATCTAGTACACCTGGTAAGCTTATCAGGGGACTTTGAGAAACCCTGAATTTATCCTTATAAGAGAAACAATTTTGATAGCCCTACAAGCTTTCACTCTGTTTGTTTTTTGGTTTTTTTTTTTAAATTTTTATTTTAATTTCCTGAATACAACTGACATTTTCAAAAGCTGGCTGAGTCATGCACATGTGTGGGTCAGCTCTGTTAGTGATAAGCCCCTACCTGGTAAGTGGTTGTAGCTGAACCACCAGTAAATTTGGGTGAGATGCATTCACTTCCAGCTGAGAGACATTGAGATTAGTTACATTTGTTAACTTCCAATCTCCTGATTCTTGAAGAACCTTCAGGAGAGAGCTGGTAGCCTTGCAGTCAACAGCTGGCAAAACTAAAGATGAAGGAGAAGACTGAAGAATTTCCTGTAAAAAATTTACAAGATTTTTTTTACTTGCTTAATATTCAGTTGCTTAATAATCAACATTTTTTATAATGTATCCTTAATTTAACATTCAAGGTGAGGGACCTCCACAGTAAACAGCAATGTGAATTCTCACCAGTTTGATGGATTGTGGTTTGCAGGCTGCTCCTGAAATTTCTTGCAGCAAGCTTAAAGCACTCAGTAACACCAAATTTTTACTGTCTTCCACATGTATGGTGGAAGAGGAGAGCTAGATGATGTAGAAGTTCTCAAGCTAAGAGTGTCATTGTTATGAACACTGCCAGAAGCAAAGCTCAGATGACTCTAACTAAATGCCCTTGGATGTGAGAAAGATCAGTGCCAGACACCCCCCGTTCCAGCAGCTCCATTCAGTTAAGTCATACTTGGAATAAAAAAACATCCTGCATTTGTGTACATCCTGGTGGTACAGCACATGGTACAGAAAAATGTCTGATTTGTAATTATTAATTTTAAAAGCTGCAGATTTCAGGCTCTGCAGAGCTTCCAGACACACACAAACAAAATTCATGTCGTGCTTTCCACCTTTTTGCTCAAAGTACTCATTATAAACCTCAGGCTGCATTGGTTCAGATAAAGCATCAGGGTATCATCCACTTCATTTACAAATCTGATAGCTGAGCTCCTGATATAGACACCTGAATGAAATTAATTGAAAAATATTCTTTACATTTGGAACCTGCATCATCAGAAAACATCTTTCCAAGCTTTTTTCTTGATAATAAAATTAACCTGAAATATCTGGGGAAACAAAATGCAAGATGAAGATTTGAAAATTATCAAAATTAATGTAGCGCATATTTAATGTTGTGGTGGGTTGACCCTGGCCTGATGCCAGGTACCAACCAAAGATGCTCTATCTTTTCCCTCTTCAGCTATACAAAGGAGAGAAAATAAAAGGTTCATGGGCCAGGGAGAGTTCACTAACCAATTACACAAGAAAAACAGTCTTGACTTGGAAAAATTAATTGAACTTATTAATAATCAAATCAGAGCATGACAATAGAAATAAAACACAAAAAGACCTTCTACCCACCCCTCTTCCAGGCACAACATTACCCATGACTCTCTACCTCCTGCCCTGCAGTGGAGAAGGGGGACAGAGAATGGGGTCTGTGGTCAGTTCATCACACATTGTCTCTACTGCCTCTTGGCAGGAGGACTCCTCATACTCTTCCCCTGCTCCTGCGTGGGGTCCCTCCCATGGGAATCAGTCCTCCATGGACTTCTCCAAGGAGAGTCCTTCCCACAGGCTGCAGTTCTTCACGAACTGTTCCAGCATGGGTCCCTCCCATGGGGTGCAGTCCATCAGGAACAGACTGCTCCAGCCTGGGCTCCTCTCTCCACAGGTCCTGCCAGGAGCCTTCCCACAGGGTCACAGCTTCCTTCAGGCACCCACCTCTCGTGGCACTGGGTCTCCATGGGGTGCAGGTGATCTCTGCTCCCCCGTGTACCTCCAGGGCTACAGAGGCACAGCTGTCACACCATGGGCTGCACCACGGGCTGCAGGGAACCTCTGCCTGCTCTGCTGCCTGCAGCACCTCCTCCCCTCCTCCTGTGCTGACCTCGGTGCTGGTTTCTGGTAAGTTCTCACTCCTCTCTTCTTGAAACACAATTGCTTCTGTGCAGTAACTTCTTCACCTTTTTAATACGCTGCCACTGTCTCTGATGGGCTCAGCTCTGGCCAGTGGCGGGTCCCTCTTGGAGCACTGACACTTTTGGACACAGGGGAACCTTCTGGCAGCTTCTCAAAAAAGCCACCCCTGTAGCCCACCCACTACCAAAGTCTTGCCACAGAAACCCAATACAAATATAAATACTAGAAGATATTTTTCATTGAGTCCTAGTTTAGAGCTTGTTAACTTTGCTTTTGTATTTTCTACATTTAAGTCCAGATTAAGTCTGTCACTTGATCCAACACTGAGATCTTCAAGCTGTTACAGACTCTCTCTCTCCCTCCCATGCAAGTGTTGTGGTGATCCTAACACTTTTCTCCTATTATTATTTTTTTTCCTTTTTTTCTGTTCTATGACTGCTTTTCTGACCTGCTCTCTAATTCTTTCTAATTGCTCACATCTTCCTTCCTAGGCAAAGGCTATAGGTACTTCCATATTTCTATAGATGCTCATAAGGTAGGATTATATGGCATTGTCTGATTTACCAAACTAAGACAAAAGTAACTGCAGAAATTAAAATAGAGCAGAAAGCATTGATCTTGTGTACAGGTCTTTGAGTAGTGTTTTTAGCACCTCCTGGAAAAAAAAAAGATGAAACATCTAATTTTAATTTGTTTACAGATTTGAATTTAGACCTCAAATTCTGATCAATTCAATGATTTAGTTTTATTCTCAATGTTTTAATCCCTTATCCCATAGCAGGAGCCAGAATGGCAACCGCCATTTCATCCAAGGATATTAAGCAGATTACTCATTTAATGTAGAGTAAGATATAAAATGTATTATTACTTAGTAATATCTTAATTGTGCCTCTGCTCCTAACCAGCGCTGCACTGCCATCTGTCTCAGCTTCCAGCCGCTGGTATTCAGCTGCTTTTCATCCTAAGGGTAGACACAGCTGGATATCAACTCAACAGCCTCAGGCAGGCAATCTGACCCCATGCCTCTTTGTCCTTCTTGCCATTTGGCAACTGTGCGCTTTTCTTTACAACACCCATATGTTGCTTTACACACTTTAGGATTTCAGCTACCTTGCTTGTTGAAAACATGAAAACTCCAAAAGGGGGTGGAGAATGAAGAAGATGTTGAGAAACACCTGATTTTGCATTCTGTTAAAGGAAACCACACAGTAGTTAGGAACAGGAGAGAGACAAGGAGAGAGAGGACGGAGAAAAGAAGAAGGGGAAGGTTTAATTTTAACTTTCCAAATTTTATCTATCCCACAAACTTTTACACTGTAGCCATGTCCTTCAAATGTATGCATAAATCTGTAAGCTATAATTTTAATGAAAATTGATCTGATGTACTTTATGTGATAGAGTGTGTTGCAGCTACAGGAAGTGTTGTTGAAAAAACCCCCATGCTGTACTGTTTAGTGGGAAACATGACACCAATTTTTTTTTTTTTTTTCTGAGGGTTACAGACAGATCCAAGGGACTGTCAAGAAGAAAACCTGAAGTCCAAGAATGGGAGGAAGCATTTCAAAGAATAAAATACAGATTATAACAATAACAAAGGATGGGGAAAAGATTGATGTGGCCTTCACAAAAAAGTTTTGCCTAGCAGTTCTGCTGAAGATACCTGAAGGAGTCAATGTACTAGCCATGTACTCTAGGAAGCTCTAGATGGTACAGTCTCCTTGGACCCACACAAGGCATTTGCCAGAGTCTTGAAGCAAGCACTACTAAAGAAACTGAGCTGCTTTGGAGAGAGAGGTAGTCTTCACATGAAGGTAGCTAAAGAATAGACAACGATTGAGCAAGCAAAGGGTATAAAAAAATCTGTTACTGCACTAGGGTCTGTTCTGTTCTATATGCTCCTAAACTCTCTGATAAAAAAATAAATATTGACCTAATGGGACTTGCTCATTATGCTGATTTTTTTCAGGTTAGCAAAGGCAGTGTCTGACTGATGAACTACAGAAGCAGCTCCTGGCACAGCCTCTTGGTCAACTGACTAACTGATAAGATTCAACATAAATTGATTTTAGCACAGTACAGGGTGACAGAAAAACAAACCTAATTTTACATACACAACAATAGGTATTAGACTCAAACTGAGTATTACCCTTCAGTAATGAAACCTTGAGAATTACAGCAGCTCTTTGAAAATGGTAATTCAGAGTCTGATAGTGACCAGGATTGAAAAAAATGAAATATTAATAGTATTTTAGAAAAGGCTAGAGAACAAAACATCATCATGTCACTGAATAAGTCTATGATGAACTTTTATCTTGATTATTATACAGTTCTGTGCAGATTCCCTTGTCAAAAACTAATATAATATCATAAAACTAAAAGAAAGAAAATAAAGACAGTGAAAATTTTATTAGAACCTGTGTATCACATGTGACTAAATAGTATTGCTCAGTCTATGACCTCTCAGTGAGGACAGGATGGAGTTATCAGACTACAAGTGGCAATGACTTACAGTCATTATTATGCAGATGCACAGCTGGTCACTATTTGGAGTGTGTTAATATACACTGCAGTTCTAAGGAGCTGGGCATTGTCTAGGGAAAGCCCAAGCTAATATTAAAGGAAAATAGTCTGTAGGGTAGGTGACTTCTTGAGAAAGAAGTTCCCCAAATGCTAATCTCTGTATTTTATTATTTAATTTAGAAGTTGCTTGAAAGTTCAAGATAAATTATCTACCTATAAGATTCCCTTTGTATTTACTGGAATAAGATTCTTTTATTGCATGCAAACCCATTGATAACAAAATCTCAGAACAGCTGCTAATGCAGCTGAACAAATCAAATATCTGAAAATGTTTCTGGGGTTTACAAGTCTATAACTCTTTTTCAAATAACATTTTCTTCTTGTAGAACACATGCTGTTACATGGTCTTATACATTCCAAATGAAATCTCCAACGTAGGTTTATGAATAAGTTTGCATTTCTGAGGTTCATAAAGGAGGATGCTTGAGAGCAATGGAATATTTATTACAGCTTCACTGATCACTTGTGTAATATAGACTGTGTAGGTAAAAACCTTCGGATTATGCAACATCAAGGATTCTAATTTCCTCAGAGAGAAAATTCAGACCTGACTTTCACTCTGTCCTGTGTTGTGTGAGTATTGCTGCAATCTTTCACAGCATGATTAAGAATTGATTTCTTGCCCAAAATATCTCAAGTGGAGTTCAAGTAATACATAAGCAACCCAGCAAATTTTTGTAGACTCTATTATGCCAAATATGGATGACTACAAAATTCCTTTACTGGCCCTGAGAACTAAACCCTATGCAATAGATATTGGCAAAACTCTCTCTATGGGCAACCAGGTGAAAAGGAAGTATGCAGTTTATACATCTCATTTTCTTCCACTCACATGAATGACAATGAGATGTATAAACTCACTCACTCACCTCCATCAAACTACACTGAAAAGCATTAAGATTGTAAAATCCTATAGAACGAATGTAGGAAATGCTGGAGTGAAGGTGAGCAATTTGTAAAAATAAACTTTCCAGTTTTAAAGAAGCCACAATATGGAAAAAACTTTCCAGCTTCAAGACAGAGAGGGAACAGAGGCAAAGTCAGAAAAAGACCAGTTAGTGACATTTATTCAGATTGTTAAATACTTGGGGTAGGTGTTTGACCTGCCAGATACAGACAAAGATTTACTTAAACATGACCTTTTGTTTAGCTGAGGACCTCCTTCCCAGCCCTCACTAGATCCCCAATCCCCTTGTATAACACCTGATTTCTAAACCCATCAGTCTCTGGCCTTATCTCTAGATTTAAAGCCTTTAATCTCTATCTACAGTGCTGATGGAGTCCCGATTACAAGGCAAAGAAGAATGTTTTAAGTACTTTGATATGCCTCTTAAACATGGAGGGCCTGCTTAAATAAGACCCACCACATTATCAGGAACTTGCAATGTCATGCATTGCAATGCATGTCAAACAGCTGAAATTTAACCAGTTTTGTAGTCAGGTAGCAACCAAAATTTGCTCAGGACACAGCCTAAACCCTGAGAAGGTAAGACATAGCAGAGAAGAACCAGTGCATCTGCCTGCAGACACAGCCACTGAGCCTTACAGTACAGATGATTATGACTCCCATTCATTCCTCAGAAAACCCATGTAGATACTCTGAATAATTGTTTCTCTTCCAGCATCAGCATTAAAATTCTGTTATACGACAAAGAGATTAATATCTCCAGTTCCACTTATACAAGGAAGATGTGAGGTTCTTAGATGTAGAGACAGGTATTAAGTGAATATTTATGTATTTAATTACATATAGTGCTTGCTGTGTGGTGCTTGGGAATTTGCACTCCCTTGTGTGCTCTAATACCATTAACATTACTAATAGCTCTGTTCATCCTGCACTGCCTCCAGGAATATCTTCATGACTTCCACAAGCGAACATTTTGTCTAATCACATTTCAATAAACTGTCATGTAAGTACAACCATAGATGCTCTGCACAAAATCTATAAACCTTCTCAGTGAGGACAAAACTTGAAGCTGTTGACTGAGTCAGGATGATTCCATCTTAAATTCTGTGCCTAGAGCTTACTTCAAGTTAATCAACTAGCATTATTTTTTTCATGAATATTAAGGCAATATGGCATCTAGTGATATATCAACTTAATAAAAATATAAAACAGTTAACTCCCAGAATGAGCCTCAATTTCTGTAAAAACAAAATAGGTATTAAATTCTGAAAATAAGAAAAAAATTATTGGTTCCTATAAGTTCTTTTCTTCCTATGGCTTCAAAACAGAGTTTTGGGGTGTTGGTCGGGAAGTTGATATTGTTTTTTATAATAGAAAACTGCAGCATATTTAAGAACAATTTTTTCAGTTATGATGAATTGTGAAAACTCAGTCTTTAAAACTAAAATAGCCACAAAGCATGTATCTGCAAACTCACTTTATTTCCTTTAACACATCTGCTTAAACTGGAATAATCTCAATAATTTAAACAGGAAAACTTCTGCAACTCAGTGCCCTCTTCCAAGTTATTTTCTCTGTGCATCTTTCTTACATCTTTCTTTTTCTTTTTAAATACTGCACATAAAGAAATAAATGAGATAAATGCTTGCCTGAACATTTTGAAATGGATTCTTGTTGCCATAGGATTCACTGAAGTACGTGAAGTCATCTATGCTAAGCTGAAAAACAAAGAGAGTAGGTTGGTGAGAAGGAGCCATGGCATCTTATTTAGGTACAGACTTGTGCTCAGTATTGGTGAGGAAAAAAAATGGTTTACATACCCTATCTTGCAGGAACAAGACGAGGTTTCTGGAGTTCTGGGTAAAAAGAGGTTGCAAGAGTGCTGTCAGTTCCTCTGCTGAGACAACTTGTCCTCCATGCACTGCAGTCGCTGGATTCCACTGCGATCTACAAAGGAATAATTCCTTTCTCTGTAGAATTTTCTGCCAATGATGACACCTTTCTTTAAATATGCAGCAGCAGGTAATGAAATCATCTTTCCTTTAAGATCAACTTTGCAGTTCAGTTTACTTTCATTCTACTCAAGAGAAAAAGAATTTGCTTGTTTATGCCTGTATCAAATTGGCTGTATTACAGAGGGGTCATGTCTCTCTCTATTTTCTTGTTTGTGTACAACAGCAGAGTTGCATCTTTTCATAAGATGCATTTTCATACTTTCTAAGTGCAATGAAGAAGAATACATTGAAAACATTCAGAGAGAATTCCCAGATGGCATCCCAACTCCCAAAACACTTTGCAGTGCTGACAGATGGAGGCCAGGAGGAGTAGAACTCAGACTAGATCACAAGTTGTCTTAAACTAGTATTTTTTAATAGAACTTTTGTTAGTACTAGTGTCTTACAGTGCCATTGTACACAGGTTCTCTCCTAAGGTTTTCATGATGAAGGAACCATTCTACTGAAGCCACTCAGAAAAGCCACCTTTCCAGAAGCAGGAGCTTTTCTGAATGGAATGACTCAAAGCACCCAGCTTACAACTCTTTTGCCAGCCTGTCACTATGAGGACTGGACAGAGAAATAACTCATCTATTTAGTTCTGCTTCTACAGGAAACAGGCAAAACAAGAGGTGGCTTTTTCTTTCAGCGCCTCATTGGGATTTTAACAGTATGCAACATGGGTCTGTAGGGGTGAAACTTTTTATGAGCGTTTTCATCCTAGGTGTTTTGACTAATGAAAATTGTCTTTGGAAAAACAAACTGAACTTGATGCATAATCTTCCATCTTTGTCCAAGTACACATCAATTGCTAAAACCTGAGAAAACAGGTTGACACTCTAACTGGATCTAATCACAATAAGTCAAATACAGGCAATTGTTGTGTGCTCTAACATAATTTATTATTGATTACAATTTGATCAAGTTGAGATAAAAATTAAATTTTCTAACCCAAAGCAATTTGCAAATGACCATTGCACAGCAAGCTTTCATGAATAAGAACAACCTCCATCTTAAGATGGAGGCGGAACAGGGTTAATGAACATATAGGTGGAGTTCAATGTTGTTTTTTGGATAAAGAAAATCTAAATTGCACTCCAAGTCCTCCCTGCAATTCCAATGAAGATTGCTGAAAGTGAATTGAAAGCGTGAGATTGCACCCACGGCAGGGGCCAAACCAGCACAGTCCTGCAGCACCAGGTGATCCCCATCTCACTTCGGACTCTGGGCTTTGGGAAAGCATTACAGCAAACTCTGGATGTGAAAGACTCCTTCAGGACAATGTGCTGGAGATGTGAAAATTAAATTCTAGTAGAACTTTTGCCTGTCACTTTACAAGCTTTAGAATTAAATCTTGCTGAGATGAAGGAAATGGTTTTTTATTGGTTGAAATTATCTGATATTTTCTTAGTTTTAATCAGCATCTTCACTTTGTTAATTTGTGCTTGGAAATCCATATTAACTTATATTTATGAACATAAACAACTGAGCAATTGCAACAGGCATGCCTCAACTTTTCAGAGAAGACAAACCTCGCAATTTAAAAAAATTAAGTATAATATTTTAAATGAATATATTTGAAAAAACAGAAAGTCCAAAAGATTCTGAATGACTCTTCAGAAACTGACTTTCATACTGACTTTTTGCCTTGCATGGCCACATCAAAATATTAATGATATTAAAGAAAAAGCAGATAGAACAAATTAAGAGATGATAAAAAATGGCTTGTGTGAAAGAAAATGACACTGAATATCTTGGTATATTTATTTAAAAAAACAAAACGTAAATAAGTCCATTTCATACCTAAACTTAGAAAAAAGAAATGAAACTTTTGAGAGCTTTGGGGACTTGCAATTAAGACAAAAAGGTAACAAACGCACATCAAACAAAATGAAATTATTTGAAGCAGCACAATGATAAAGGCTTTTGCTGTGAACTCAAAACCTCAGAAGTTTAATGATCCTCTTTTAAAACATACTTGCTTCTAAGAAATTCCCTGTTCCTTGAAGCAGTTCTTGTTAGTTACCTAACCTTGAAAACACCTTTTGTGACACTTTTTAACTTTCAAGCAGTCAACTTTAGTAACTTCATAATCATAAAGAAAATCTACATCAGTTGATTAATAATTCTATTAAAATGCAGCATTTGCCTAATACTTATATTCACAATATTTTGCATGCATTTATTTTGCTGCCTTTTACCAGTTTGCTGAGCACTATGCATGGCAGTAGGGAAGGCTACATCCTTCACTGAGGGACCTGTTGTTGTCTGCTTGGTGCAACAACATTCCCAGCATGGTTCAGACAGGAAATAGAACCACAGAAACATTTAGGCTGGAAAAGACCTCTAAAATCATCAATTCCAACTGCCAATCCAGCACTGCCATGTCCACCAGTGAACCATGTGCCTAAGTGCAACATCCACGTGTTTTTAGAACATTTCCAGCTGACTCAACCACTTCCCTGTTCCAATGCCTGACCACACTTGCAGTGAATAAATTTTTCCTAGTATCCAACCCAAACTTCCCCTGGTGCAACTTGAGGCTGTTTCCTTTTATCCAATCACTTGCTAGTTGGGAGAAGAGACCAAATCCCACCTGGCTACAGCCTCATTTAGGAGAGCTGTAGAGAGCAATAAGGTCTCTCCTCAGCCCCCTTTTCTCCAGGCTAAACACCCCCAGGTCCTTCACCACTCCTCACCTGTGCTCCAGCCCCCACCCGCCTCCTTGCCTGGTCAGGACCTTTTACTGGGTGCTTTACTGGGAGCTGCAGGGTGAAACGGAGATCTGTGAATGCCAGGGGCTCGTGGATACACCGAGGATGAGCTTCCCTGACCACAACCAAGCAGCTCATCCCACTGAACTCCTCACCTCAGGGACGGATGAACGGTGTGGGACCGGCAGCAGGCCAACACACACAGAGATTGCTCTTACTGGCTGCTCACACAAAGCCCTGTGCCCAGAGACACGCAGCCTCCTACAGCCACCCACGTGCCAAGCACAGAGAACCCCCTGCCACTGCACCAGCGGGGCTCAGACCACAAGCATCTCTGCTAACGTACGTGTGCAGGAGCACACAGCTTCAAGGAATCCTAGGGAAGCTTTATGTTTGAGGAAACTTACAACTCTACTGCTCTCTCTTTCCTCCAACAGTCAAACAATGCCCTAAAGAAAGTGAGGAAAGCAAGCTTAGCTTGATATTTTGCTTCTTTCTTATACCTCACTGCTCTGACATGACAACATGATCTTCTTTCCTGAACAGTATTCTTTCTGGAATTTGAGCAATTAGGTTGATGGAAGGAAAGATTTCAAGATTTCCTGTACCTGGACCCACCAGACGGGCTGATGGGAAGACAACAAGGCTTCTAGCAGTCTAACTCGTGATTACATTTTTGCTTTGTAGCTGGCTTCAGAACTCTTTCCCACAAGTTATTCTTGTCAGTTGTCTCTATCAGTCACCCTGTGATTACCATGTAAGAAATCATGCTTTCCCCTGCTCAGGAGAAGTAAAATAGCTTTCATGCTGGCACTCAGTGCCTCCATTGGCATCCAAAAAAATTATAGCTAAAAAAAATGTCCTTTCTATGTTACACCTTCTTTCAGTAGATTTATCAGTAAAGTCCCTGTAGTTTAGGAAACAGTGCAAATCTACTAATTGGCATTAGCACTTTCTCAAAGTCACTTATAACCTGGGTTTACCAGAATGGGATTATTTTCCCTATATAAGCGTAGCATAAAAAAGGAAGTAATATATTTTAGAAGACTGTAGGCAAAAATCATTCCTAAAACAAACACATGAGGGGGCAATCACAAAAAGCTATTTTTAACGAATTTATTTGCTCAAACTCCTTCTCTTTTTCTGTGGAGGGAAAGAAATCCTTCTGAATATTAGCTCAAAATGGCTAAATCAAATTTGTTCTGTGTATCATATGCAAGAAGAGCCTCTCAACCTTCCCTACTTCAAAAACCCAACCAGGGAATATTAGTTTAAAGGCTGATTTAAAATAAAGGTCAAATTTTCCACACCAAAGTTATTTGAAGAACATCCAGTGATATATTCTTTTGTGAAAAACAGGACAGTGTGACATACTGAATTATTCCCTAGCTGAATTGAGAAAGAATGTTTTTTTAAAAAAAAAAACAATTTTCTCCAAGTAGGGATCTGCATTTTACTTTCTAGAGGAAGTTATTCCCTAGTTGAATTGAGAAAGAATGTTTTTTTTTTAAAAAAAAAAAACAAAAACATTTTCTCCAAGTAGGGATCTGCATTTTACTTTCTAGAGGAAAGAGGTATTTGACTTCCTAATGTCTCTGTGAGAACTGATATCATACTTCCCGTTGTTTTGTGCACTGCATGTGTTTGTCAGCTGCAGGTTTCACCTCTATCTGGCATCTAACATTATCTTTAACAGTATGAATACAGTATAGTAATAATGCATAAAACAGACTGTTACATTCTCTGATACAGCTGTCCTGAGACATGGCTTGGCAAACACTGGCTACTTCTAAATTAGAACAAAATGTAGTATCCTTCAATTATTCAATACCAAATCCTAACAGATGACCTGGGAAAGGGTGATGGAATAGATCAGTGAATCACAGCTTCTGTGGATTAATGAATTGCTAAACTTTTATACTGGTGGGACATATTCCTCTTCACAGAGTGAACAGATATCCATAGATATTGTAGATAATAGATACTATAGATAATTTCTAGATTATAGATGTAGACATTATAGATAATTACTGCAATTCTGTAGTTAACTTTCCCAAGACTCTTAATAGCAATTTCCAAATTTCATAGGCCTGAGGATGACACACTGCAAACCTTGCATCACTGTGAAGTACCAAATGTAAAGCACAGTTAGGGGTTAGCAACAGGAAGTTGCTGTTAGTGTTACATTGTTTTATAAAATAACGAAAAACTTATTTTCAGCTGCTTCACAGACCTTGACCAGAACTAATTTTGGCCCTACAAGAACTTTACTTTTCAAAACGTAAATACCATGGTTGGAGGAACACTTCTTCCACAAAAGGTTGTATTCCTGGAGACGTGAAACTGACTACCCAGTCCAGTATCCTGGTTTTCTGCTCTAAATTTGTATAAACCAGAAAAATCTGCAGTAGAACAAGCTGCTAATTACATCTTGATGGAAAGTTTGCTTTTATGTCCACATGGGATTAAGTGATAAGATCTTGTTTATATATACACAGATATGTTTTTATATAAACCAGGAAGTAGGACAAAGGAAGCACTGATCTTTTCTTGAAAATGCTTAGAATCACTTTTAACCTAAGAACAGTGCTTTCCAACATTTACTTTGCTTTTAAATACAGGAGTATTACACAGGGTTAATACGCTCATATAGGTGCCTGTCTTATATAATGGTGAATTACTAAGTATTTTGAATATAAAATTGCCTTGATGTTGAAATTTTTTTTTTTTTCTTTTAGGGGGAGAAAACAAAGAAAACAAAGTGAAAGCTAAAAATTCAAACATTTTCAAAACACGCAGATTTCCATATGCAGAGTTTCAGGTTTTGGAAATCCATAAAAGATGAGTAAACATATGGCAAAGGTGGTTAATAAGTGGCCCATATTTTTCTGACAACTTAAAATATTCAGTATTCACCTGAAGCTACTGCATTGCCCAACCTGCCATATTTCTGGAAATCCCAAGTAATGGTACAAATCCTTGAAGTGATCATGAATAAAATTCCTGGTTGGTTAGAAAGAGGTCTATACCTGGTTCTTTCAAAGCAGCTTCAAAGTCCTATTTTATCAGAATATGCAAAACCCTGAATTTCAAGTGTCTCTGGATCTGTTAAGACTGCAGTTGTTTCTAACATCTGATGCATATACATACAGCAATGTACTTAACAACCTGTATTTAAATGAACATTAAAGTGAAAAGTCAGGGTTCAGAAGTTAGGAAATCCAAGGTTTAAAAAACTACAACTCAATGTTTGGTCAGCTCCTTTTTGTGTCACTGCCTTATGTTGTGGCTTTAAGCCCTAACATCTCTAACAGTAGAGTTCAAAGATGCTTTAGGGTGAATAAAGCACACCTACTTCAGATTAGTTTACTGAATTTCTTTACTTCTTGCTCAGCTTAGAGCACTAAAATTATAAATAAAAAGGCTAAAATCATCTGTTGGCTTGTTTGACGGCCGAGGTGCAAATTTATTTCTTGGATAATTGCACTGCCCATAGCTGACTTACCATATTCGATGGCACAACACATTCTGTGCAGACACACACAGAGCAGGAGCATAAGCAGGGACACACTTCGATTCGATCTCTTACCTCCCAGTTGACCAGAGCAGCATCGGCACATGGTGCAGGGACAGGGAGGTGTGGAGCAGCAGGGCGAGGGAGCAGAGCAGCGCGGCTGCAGCCATGGCAGCGCGGGGAGCCGAGCGTGTGCGCAGCTGCCCGCAGCCGGCCGGGCTGCGCCTGACGCCGCTCCCAACAGCAGGGGGAAATTCAGAACGCCAACTTCCTTCGCCTGAACTTGGGAGTTACTCCTATTTTTAATGCTTTCGGATTTGTGATTTAAACAGCTCGTAAAACACTCTGCAGTGAAAGCATTGTCAGTTTCCTCTAACCTTCAGGTGCATGAGAGTCATGGAGTCCAAACTCCTGTCCTATGCAGGCTGGTAACAGTTATATAACTTCAAAATGGAGTTTACAGAAAAGTTTTCTGTGCTGCACAAAATATATTCTGCAGAACTTCTATCTTCCTCCCCTGCTACATATTATCATGTTCCTCAGCTTAGTTTTTTCACATGATTGAGATCTGGCGTCACACATTCGGGTGTTGACAGGTTTGAAATCTGCAACAAAACGCAGATTTCAGCAATAAGGAAGAGAGACAGAAAATGGCACGTTCAGAGCCACTGAAACACAGAATTGTTAAGCTATCTTTTGCATGGAGCAACGCTGCACCGGAAATCAAAAATCTCTTAAGTCAGGGGCAAATTATAGTCACTTCAGAAAGTGACACGACTTCAGTATTTCACAGGACTCATGCAAGAACAAAACAGTCTTAGAGAATTCCTTCATGCCCGGAAGCAAATTGCTCTGGGACGCTTTTTTGTGCCTGCCAAACACTGAGCAGTTTCTGCACCTTGTGACTACATTAGGCAGCAGCAGCCTCGGCACATGTTTGGCTCTGGGCACAAATGCCTCCTCACCATCAGAACAGGATGTTAGAGATCATGCACAAAAGTTATGAGCTATGTTAAAATGAACTGTGTTAAGGGAAAAATAAGGAAGCACAATGAAAACTGTGCTTCCTTATTTTTCCCTTTAAAAAAGATGACACAAATAGAGGTCAGAAGACATGCTTGTTTAAATCTGAGCACATGTAGTCAGATCAGTTAAATCCATTTGCCTTGAATCACAGTATATTGTTATAGTGTGCTTGCCTAATATAAGGCAATTTGTTCATCAACTCAATCTGAAATCTGATTTCTCAGAAAAAAAATAATTTTAAGGGTAGCAATAAAACATTTTCATGTTCCTTTTTTCTCCATGTTACCTTTATATAACACAGAAATTAACTGTACTTTTTCCTCTTAACCTCAGAGATATATTAGAAATCCCATCTGTTCCCTTTAACAAGCCAGTGTGTGTGTTTGTCTGTTTAAGGGTGTGTACAGGTAAGACAGCAAACCAGACCTCAAAGACAGAGGTAGAAACAGAAGCACCTAGACAGAATACAGGAATTGCAGAATTTCCAGTAAAACTCAATTTTGCAGAAGGACAATATTTGACACACTAACCAATTCACACACTCTTACAAAAACATCACTCTAGGCCCTACATCAGATGCACAAATAGTCTGCAGGTCTGATCACATCAGAAGAGCCAGCTGGGTTCACAAATCCGTGGTTTATTGAATGTAGCTTCTTTGGGATTGCTGGTGACAAAAGCAGCTGCTGCAGAATATACTGCATTAACAATAAGACTGCAATAATATTGTTTAATTTCCTGTGTCAATACTAAGCATAACTGACAACCCAAGACTCACCAAAAGGCATCCTTTTTGTGGAGGATGAGAAAGACAAGCCTGTCAATCTGTCCCTTAAAATTTTGTGTCAAATTCTCATCCCCCACTGAGGTACAAAATTGAGGTACATTTTATACCTTATTAACGACTATTGTGCAAAGTGCTATCAGTGGGACTGTGATCAAACCTTCCACTCTGCGTAGCTGCATTGTCTGGAATATTTGCTGGTAGGAGGTGCACTTGGTTTGTACAAAACATTTCTGGGCAACCAGCGGAACACAGCCACATGGTTTCTACGCTCACTTCCTGCTCCTCCCCACGGCTGTGGCAACTCGAACCACAGGACTCCGGCCGGGTTCCGCAGTGCTCCGATCGCCGTCGGTCCCGTCGTCACATCCTGAGCTTTGCCTTCTCTTCACTGCTGGGTGCTTCCAACACGCACACCGAGATGCACAGTTGGTGGGAATGCTCTGTATTCTGCCTTACAGAAACAGTCTTAAAACTTCTTGAAACATAACCAGATTGTTTTCTCTCAGATTACCATATCACTTATGAACAAACTTTTAACTGAAAACAAACTGACTTTTCCTTTTTAATATATCTCCACAAACCACAGTTTGGGAACAACTGAAGTGAAAAAAAGCTTTGAAAAAAGGAACAAGAAGAGCCTATTGAGTGGGATTTTAATTTGCTTCACTAAGTAAATTTAGCTCACAAATATATCTGCATATATTTTCTCCTTTCTTCTTCACTCCTAAAAATAGTGGTTTTTTGGACACAGATTTGAAAGACTACATTAGTTAGAAGATGCTTATTTTGTGGAAAAGCATGTTCCAAATATTAGTCAAGCATCCAACTCATTGTACTTCCAGCACAAATTTTTAATTATTTATACAAAAGTTTTCACGGTGTGACTAAATGGCACTGCCAGGAAAGAGCTGACGGTGGTGGTGAATGGAGTTCACATCGATCTGGCACACAGCCACCAGTGGTGTTCCCAGGGCTCAGTACTGGCACCAGTCCTGATTCATGTCTTTACCAATGACCTGGATGGGGGGATCTGCTGCCTAAGGATGATGAAAGAGGTTGGTGTGCTGGAGCAGTCCACAGAAGGACAGTGAAGCTAGTGAAGAGTCTAGAGACAAGAGAAGATGGCCTCAAGTTGCACCAGAAGAGATTTTTGTTGGATAATAGGAAAAAATTCTTCACTGAAAGGGTAGTCAAGCTTTGGAAGAAGCTGCCCAGGGGAGTGGTGGAGTCGCCACACCTGGAGGTATTTAAAAGCCATGCAGACACAGAACTTAGAGACAGAGTTTAGTGGTGGAGTTGGCAGTGTCAACAGTTGGACTTGATCTTAAAGGTTCTTGCAACCTAAAGGATTCTGGGATTCCAGAAACCTCCAACACCACAGCGCATTGAAATCAATGGACTACTGGCTTTTCACATTTGTTTGAACTATTTTCTTACCTTTTTTTTTTTTAAATCATCCTTCTGGAGTTGTAAATTATAATTTTAAAACATGCTTAAGAAGGAAGGAAAAAATTGTATAAAGAGGCAGATTCCTATCTATGTGACTCATTGCCATTCAACCCATAATTTACTTCAAAACTCCTTTTATCACTCTGGGGGAAATTCAGACTTAGCAGCCATTCCTATCTTAAGGCTCAGATGTCAGAAAGCACATAAGCCAGCTGGAATGCTCGTGTGCTGCAATTCTACAATTAGTTCAGTACTGAACTACAATCCAGAACTTAATTAAACTAAAATTCTGAATTTAATGGTAAAATCAGTGGAAATGTTCCAATGATGTTAAAATGCACTTGTCAGCCAGAAACCGATTCTACAGTTCATGTTCTGTTGAGGGAGTCAATTCAGTTTTCAGCTGTTTGCTGCCAAGTATGTGCTCATTTCTCTTTTTAAATGCTACTGCTTTTTCCTAGGTAGTTTCATCTGTTAGAGCAAAAGGCTGGGTCAAAACCACATCTTATAATAGAGATTTCAAGAAGAACCTTGCAACTTTCTGTTGGATTTTTGAATTTACACCATATGTTTTTCTCTGTAACTATGATCAAACATAAACTTTTTTAATTATGGGGAAAATTTACTTCTTCAAATAATATAAACTCCTTCAAATAATACAAACTCAAAAGTAAACATATTTCAAACAGTATGAAATGTGTATTTTAAATTATGATATTTAAATTATAATACTCAAATTATAATAATTACAATAATTTCAACATCTTGGATACAATAATTACATACTGGCAGTTCCACTATGGCCATCTAGATGAGCTACAAAATGTAAAGTTGTTCTTTTGCACAAATGTTTGCAGGGCAAAGTGGCTTTATCTGAAAAGCTATATATATTCTGTTCTTCTGTAAGAATCCAGGGATTGAGGGGGTTTCTGCCTTATGTGCTTAAGACAAGAAAAATAAATTTAATACAGTGCTATATTATTAATTTTCTAATTAAAGGGTGACAAAGAATTAACAGGATTTGCCCAACAGGAATATTACACTACAGACAGAATGTTCCAAGCAATGCAGGAATACACAAAAAAAAAATCATAGCTCTGAAAACTGAGAATTTACAAAGCTCTTTAACAACATTTTATTTTTTTTGAATGAGGTTACAAAACCTGAAATGCAGTTAAATTAACTGATTAAGATAAAATTATTTTATCCTCAGAAGTTTATTTTGATCTGTGTAATACAATTAGCGTATTGATGCAAAAGTGTATTTCTTTAAAACCTAAGAATTTAGTTCACTTCTTTAACTTCACAGAACTATGTTTTTTGTCGGAATTTGCATTAGACTCATTGTTATTTCTATGCAAAAATGATGACATCGCAGGAATCCGAGAAAAGTAGTTTTTTGCCCGGATATGCTTTTGTTCTATTCTGTAAATAAATGGAGCTTCATAAGTCTGAAAAAAAATTCAAATACCAGAAATACAATTAAAATATCTAAAAATATATGTGTTGCTTCATATTTAGACATTATAAACATTTCTACATATTTTAGACATTATAAATATTGACCTTTTAATAAACGAAGGCAGATAATTTATTTGTATATATATATACAATGAAATATTTTGTAGTTCTATAGTACTATCTTATGGGCCAGTAGTGAAAATTTTTCCTTGTGAAATATTAATCATGTTTTAAAACCAGAGTAACTTTTTTATCCATTCAAGATGAAACTTATTTATTTATTTATTTCAGGTGAGAACATTTGTACTCACATTTGAAAATTAAATAAGGCAACACTTAGCAACATTTGCAAGGTGAAGACTGTAGGGGCATTTCTTGATAAGAATCAGAGTTGTAATTTTCAACTAATCATGGCAGCAAGTATTTTGCAGCATTTCAGTCATCACTTGCACGCAGTGGTGACATTTTCCCAAATTCCTAGTTATTATTAGTAGTTTGGATGATGGAATAAATAACCAGAATATTTAATTGAAAAAACCTTTTGCTATTGCTGTAGTCATCACTTTGAATAATTGCTATTAAATAAAGTCACTATGATTAACTGCTATTAAACAAATGGCTTAAGAGGACTTTTTTGTTTTGGTGAATGAAAAACAATGATTCAACTTACAACATTCTATCTTCACCTCATTTTCTTTATTTCACACTCTTCATTTTATTTTTTTGAGGAAGAAAGTTGAGTCCTCACTACAACTGATTCACATCCATATTTGTTGCAAGAGCTAATGAAAATACCTCATGGTTTTTATGTAGGCTTGTGTAGCTTACCTGTCCTGACCTAACTCCCCCATCCACTGAAGCCCTGGACCTAATCAAGTTAATGGCATTTCTTTGACTGTGGCATCCAGACTCATGTCATCAAACCAGAGAAGTGCTCAGTTAGGATCTCTGCCTGCCATAATGCTGGTAACAGAAATTTATGGGTGCTGAGGAGCATCACTAGATTCAGATTGTCTGAACAGCCTTCTTGACTCACAGTGAGTGAGAGGAGCCAATAAAGGGACTCCCAGCTTGAAACCGATTTTACCTTCCAAAGCTAAAGCTCTCATAAATGTTTCTGCTTGAAGACACAAACTGGGCACTCACACACAAAATATAATGGATTGCAGAATTCCTTTTGCCTTTAGAATTTCCTGATATATTTAATCCATAAAGCAAAACTTTTAAGAGAGAATTAATTTGTTCTGTTTAGTTTGCTCTTAGGACTTCCGGAAAGAAGAGCAATACGTAACAGCGGAAGCTCCATTTCTGATGTACATATGTCATGTTAAAAATTGAATTAAGAGCACCCAAAACAAAAGAACACTAGGCAACAATGACAGCAGATCACTACTTATATAAATCAATAACCTGGAACTGAAAGGCTTAATAAGCCATTATTAAGTGCAGGACAAAGACAACTCACAGGATTCTCCTATGCCTTACAAAACTAAATACTCTTAATATATTATGTTTAGTGGAGAGGTATTTCATAGACTACCATGTTTAGATATGGAATTTGGGGGTGGGGGGATTTGTGTGTTTTGATGATCAGTTTAACACAGTCCTAAGTGGTTTTAATTCAGAAGAGAAATTATTTTTCTGAAGTTTCTATTGCTTAAATGCAAACTGTAAGGTTACATTAAGGTTACTGTAAGGGATACTTAGCTGATATTTATGTAAGAAAGTAGTGGCAAATTTTATGATGACAAATAGATAAGGAACCGTTCTTCTATTTGATGAGAAATGTAGAAGACCAGAAACTAATGAGGCCAGAGCATGTGCAAGAGCACAGGCACACAATGGCCACAGTATTTATGGTTAGTCTTTAGCATGCTTTTCATCCAGCCTAGCTCTCATCTGATCTGATCTGAAGGAAGAGAGCATGCATGACACTGCTCTCAGCAGGCAGCATGGATGAGGCCACTCTGCTTCTTGCAATTCAGGAGGGAGAACTGGGGCAAGACAGAGTTCAGGTACATGGAATGAGCTGGACATGCCAGATGCCTTCTGGATTACTGTCCATTCTGTTTAACAGTACAGATGCAATAATTTAAATAATCACAATGAGCCAATTTAAACACGGACAAGTGTAACAACTAAATTTGGCCCAACATAATTAATCACGGGATTCTATTAAAACATAACATAAATACTGTAAAAAATAAATCCCATTGAAATTTACCTTCTGAAGGTTACACAGCTTAAGATGTGCATCTGCCTCTTCTTTAGTGAGGAGAATAGTGTTCCATGGAGACCACTCTTGTTGCTTATCCCACCTGACCATAACCAAATCATACAGGTTGCTGCAGGCACTGAGAGCTGACTGGCAGTTCCATATGTGCTCAATCAGGTACTGCATATCTGGAAGCTGAAATAGAAAACAGGGTTAAAAAGGAAATCCTACAAGTCCTGCACACATGTAAAAATTCAAATAAAGGTTTGGGTTAAAAAAAAAATTCTATGCACATGTCATATGATCACTTGCTTAAAGAGCATCTTGATACACATATATACTTTTTGCATAGTTGTTGGAACATTCGATTCTTTGACCTGTCAGCAAGACTTCTTTTAGTGTACAGCTTGCAAACCACCTTTTAAAGTACACCTATGCTTCAAGAGCTTAAGGGCTGTTTCCTTATGGTGTGGAACATTGCATATCACAGGAAGAAGCTGTAGCTTTTAGCCCATTTCTCAACCTGTCCACAACATACACAAAATAGAGGGCACATAGTCAAAGTCACATAGCTTACTATGAGTAGCAATGCTCTTTCCAACAGTACCTGAACTAAGAAAACAATTTTACTATCATCCTGATAATCAACTTCAGACTTCCTGAGATTTTCTAGTATAAGTCTGTACTTGAAATATGCTTCTCGTTTCCGAGCCTCATTATCAAGCTGGTAACACGAGCGACATCTGCCAATGGTGTGGGAACTTGCAGGAATGGGAAACTCAGTAGGTGCTAAGTACTTTTCGCAGCTGTGACAGAAGTAAACATTTTTATAAAGCTTTAAGGGATCTTGTGGAACCTAAAAATTAAAAAAAAAAAAAGTTAATTTACTACAGGGTATCTTTGTATTACTTGTATGTTACTCAAACACTGTCAGGATAAGTCTTCCATATATTCATCCAAGTATTTTAATATGCAAAAGCTAAAATTATTTATTTTAAAATACCCAATAAAGTGTTGTGATTGTTCTTGGATAGGATACCAAGAGTAACTGTATTTTCTTACTGCATTTGCTAAAATCAGTTATATAAATCCGTTGATTCATTTTTAAGCTATATAAAGATCCTAAAAATTATGTTCCAGTGTTCTTCCTGGTACTTTTATATATGCAGATTGTCAGTAATTCTGGAAAGATGACAACACAGAAAAAACAGAAAGTAAATTCTCCACATTTGATTTTTCATGTAGGATCTGCCCTTTATGGCAAAGATGAGATATGGGCATAATAATGTTTTGGCATAATAATACAAAATCATGAGGCCCACATGTCCACAACACAGGGGAAGAAAATAGACTAAACTTGACAGCGACCTCCTCATCCCCATACTCCTTCATGGGTTCTGAAAAGAATGTAATGCAGTCTGTGCAGACAGACCAAGTCTGTAACTGGACAGTTTGAGTAGTCTGATAATCCTCAGTCTCTGCTGTGGTACATCTGCTAATAAACCTAGTGTAACATTAACTGTTAGTTGGTTCTAAATCAAACATCTGCATCTAAATCTGACAGATTCTCTACTCCTGAGATAACACTGACCACTGTATGAGGAGTGCTTTTCTGATAGATGCAAAACAGATCTTTCTACTTAGAGCAGCAACATATGATAGTGAATCATATTTTTATCTGTAATATGTAGTCAGAAAAGAAAAGCACTCACACAAAACTAACTACATCTTCTTCACACACAGTAGCAACTAATTCTGCAACAGAAGCCTGGAACAGATTTTGCTTAGGTGCAAGCTCACTAGACACTGACATGGGCTACGCTCTTCCTTTCTGGATGCACGGCATGCTGCCTCTTGACCAGTAGAAAAAACACGAATCCCTCTCTCAGTATATTGGTACTGCTTTGCTATTACATTTTACTGATACCATCCCATGAGAGCTACCATTTATAACTTTCAGATTTTTTATTTCAGGCACAAGAGTTCCTGGGCTCTCTCAGTGCTGCCAGCCACAGGTCAGGTGCTTATGACCATGTCTATGCCCCATGCCTCCTGACAGGACTATAAATTTATTTGTGTGAAACCTATGTACTTGCTACATTTTACTTCCTGAGGAAGTCCTCCACAAATTCTACAGGAAAATGTAAAATAAAAAAGCTTTCAATATTTTCCATATCCCTTCTCTTTAGTTTAGTGGCCACTATGTCAGGCTGCAAAATAAAAGTAATACCTTAAGTAACCCAGCAACTTGAGGGTTAAACTCTGGAGTTTTGATATACTGGAGAAATAATGTACAAATTCTTTTCCTCAGTCCTTCCAAGTTGCTTTCTTTCACATCTCTTGACATAAGATCAATTTCTCTGTCAATTAATGCCACTAATTCCTGTGTTAATTTACATTCATGTTCCTGGGGAAAAAAAAAAGGGGGGCGGGAGAGAGAGAAAAAGGAAAATAAACTGCACAATAATGAAGAAGCAAGCAAACAAAATCATTCAACAAGACATGAAAGCAATCTATGGAATCTATGAACATTACCATTCATACCTCTGTATGTTCATAAAAGAACATGTTCACAGAAGAACTCGTTAGTCTCTCAGAGAAAAAAATCTCTCATGAAACAACTGTAGAACTACAAAAGAGAGAATGCTAACAGACTCTGTTTTAAAGGGCCTGTATACCAAAGCTGTGAGGAACTGTAAGCCTGGAAGCACTAAAAGATGCTTGGCAGAGGTACTCAACAAGTGCAAAATTTTAAGTTTTCAAAAGTCCAAAGAAATATTTCCCTAAGAAGCTTCCTTTGGCTATGAGATTGGAGGTGTAATATGGATGGGTTTAAAAAAAATGACACAAGAAAACCCAAAAAAATCAACCACACAAGAGGCATGGGGGACTTTGACAGTATGCTTGGAAATTAGTCACTTCAGTATTTCCAATGCTTGGCAGGAGATTCTCCAGAAAGAGAGACGTAAGAGGTGAACGAGTTCAGCGATTTCTCAGGTAAAAGAGAGTGCTAATTTACAGAAATTCACTTGTTCACTACAGCAATATGTGTTAACTCTTGTATGGACAAGAGTTCATAAACCAGAAGTGCTCTCAATGCCATAGTGACTTTAAATCAAATGCTGGCACTACTAAAACAATCAGCAAGATTCTTGTTTGTTTTAATAAGACCAGGAAGCAGCATTCTATTCTAGGCTGATGTCAACAGTATCATCCTAAAAGAAACTTGAAACTCATTCTTTTTGTACATGAATAAATAAATCAAACCAATATGAAAGACTAAAAAAATGCAACCAGCTTCTAATTCATTGGAAACACTAGCAGCAACAGTGGCAGCAGGGAGTGAGAGGCAAAGAGATTAAAAAAATCAGTATTTGCTACCCCTAAAACTGGTCATCCAAACCAATAGATAGATAAGGTTCTAAATGGATTTCAAAGAACTGAAAAAAAATGGTAGCTGCCACATATATCCCTGCCACAGTTCTCATAAGGTTGATATTAACTAGGAAACAAAACTTTGTACTAAAACTGTATTATGTATTAATACACAAAGAAGTCTAAAAAAACCATGGGGTTGAAATTCTAACACAACCTGAAGACAAATATGCACACGATAAAGTGAAATATGAATTTAGAGTGTATCTGGAATGTAAATTACACTCACACACCACATGAGGGTACATGAGAGTCTCTAGCTCACCATCATGCCACTTGTCTGCCAGCAGCAGCACTGCTAATGTGTCAACATAATTAAGTGACAGCACCTTTGGAAAGTACAGCTTCAAACTAAATAGAAATAGAAAGCTAAACCTTACCTTCACTGTCCATTTGAGTGTTAACAGCACAGATGTTCTCTCATCTTTTGGGATGTCCTTTGTGTTAATGCTGTGGTAGATTTCAAGTAGTTCTTTGCCACGGAGCGAGTTCTGTGTATCCATTTCAGTGATTTTTCCATCAAATGCTTTCCACCTCCTAGGTTGTGCACACTTCAGAAACAATTTGTAGAACTCTGAGCTATTAAAATCTGACCACCAGCTGAACAATTGCATTATGTTACATCAAGTTTTAACAGAGCAAATAGGGACTTAATGTCAATGCCTGACTAATGCAAAAGGCTAATTCTATTGCAGATATTGATACAGCACCTCTTCCACCAAAGAAAGCATTCAGTTGCACACTTTATTTATAAGCTGCAGGTCATGACAATTTCGACTTACAGGATATTAAAAGCAAATAATATTCTCCTACAGGGACATGCTCTACTTCTTTAAAGTGAATTTACTGACAGTAGTGTTAGAATACATTTGCTCTGTATTTCACTTTGCAGTCATAAATCCCATCAAACTATCAGTAAAAATCAATAGGTCTGTTGACTGTGTAAAGATTGAAAATTTAAGACGTTAAAGCCTACTGCAGTAAAAAATATCTCCAGGGAACTGTTCTATTTATACTAGTTGCAGAGAAGGACAGAAGGAATATAGTTTGTTAGAGCTAGGGCAAGGTATGTGTTTACAGTTTACCAGACACTTCACCTAGCTTCTTCTTTGCTACCTTAACCACATGCTGTATGCCTTATGCTTCAATTATCTCTTTGCACATCTTTAACTTTTATAGATAGTAAGAAGTTCCATGATGTCATCTGCCCCACAAGGTCTGAAAAGTACAACCATTTTCTTCTTTCCAGAAGATTGGTTTTGATTACAAATCACACTGTTACCTAAGGAGACAGGCATCCAATTCCAATAGAAAAAGAGTTTTCAAAAGCCTCTCTCATCATTACTTAACTCCATTTCCTTTTCTTAATGGGGAGAGGTACGTGAAATCTCTTTCTATGTATCAATTATTCTCTTTCACTATATTTGGAATTTGTGTTCACTAGCACTCACGAACTTCACCTTGAAGTCTCAGTGTGACCTAACAACAGGAACACTTCATGCAGTATTCACATACCTAGCAGTTTTCTGGACATAACCCCAGCACTGACACAATCATTATTTTGATGAAATAGACTTGATATGGTGATAAGTAATAAAAATATCAAGAATATTAGACAGCTAGAAGAGATATGATTAGTTATCACCACAATCAATTTCCTCACTTTTAAATAAATAGTTAGATAAGGAAAAGAAAGACAAAATAATTTTAAAAAGGTTTTAACATCTAATTAATGACACTTAATTACATTATCCGTGGTGGTAGAAATCTAATTAAAGGAGATATTGTTAACCAGGGGTCACATTTCAGAGCCAAAACTAAGAAATACAATAGCAAAACCAGACATTAGCTAAAAAATATCCCCAAAACAATCAACTCTTAATTACTTGGTGAAATCTTTGAATTTCTGCAAAACTTGAGCAAGGCAATTTTTTCTCTGTCATAGATAGGGAGCATTCTATTGTATGTTCATTTTGTTTCACTATCTTTGTACAATACCAGAAATTCTTTTCAAAAAACCCAAAACAAAAGCAAAACCCCACATTTTGCAAACAATGTAATTCAAACCAACTTAGAAGGTCTATCATGCTGACAATCCTTTGTATGTTAGACTGGGACAAATCACTGTTTTCCATACAGTAGTTAATTCAGTACCCTCATTTGATCCTCTTCAAGGAAATCACTTACAACAACAGATAAAGATCATTTGCTAATGCTAGAAAGAATCAGTGGCCAGAGTAGACCCTAAGAAATAGTCAGTAAAATTAGATTTTTCTGATAATTTGCAAACCCAATATGCGCAAGTCGTCTTGGTACCCTGCTCTGCAAATGACTCAACACAGACCAATTCTGTTATTGTAATTCATTCTTCAAAAATAAATCTGTAACTTCTGTATTTTTTCTTACTACCTTATCATAGCTGGGTATTACATTAAAAAAAATACAGCTTTTCACTGAAAAAAGAAGGAATCACAAGTTCCCTGATTTCAGGACTATTTTTCTCCAGACTGACAGGAGAAAAACTAAAACTTTGAGATCTTCTGCCAGCTTTCTCTTGTCTTTTAGTCTGCTGGCAGTGCTGTGGAATTTACAATAATCCTGTTATTTATATTACTACAAGTACACTCTGCTGCCAATGCATGAAAGCAGAAAAAGCGCCTGAGGAGAGAAACACACCACCACAGACAGAGAGAAAAAGGTAAATATAATTTAAAAAAAAATCTATAAGATGTGTGCAGAAATAGTACAAAGCATGAAAGGCATGAGCTGAGTAACAGTTAATAGTTACACAAATTTCTTTAAGTCAATATGACTGCTGTATAAAAGCTTAATCAAATACTTCCTCTCCAAAGTACAAATGCTGAAGAAGAACAAGTTCAGCATAAAGAACCCCCTAGAACACAGGGCACACACAACCAATAGCAACCTTCATAAAAGCACACATGCCTGTGGAGGTACATGCTTAAAGTAGCAAAGAAGGGAACAAAGGTTTCCATGGAGAAGCAACTTTCATGCCACATTGGCTATTGCAGCTTGCAGTCTTCAGATGTGAAAGATATTATTGCAGCTTTTACTGGCAAGTGTCCAGAACAACATTACCAGCTCCAAGTTCAAGAAAAAAACAAATAATCCCTAATCAAACACTCAAAAATAAATTTCATACTGTAACTTAAAGTGCTTAACTTGCGCTGCTACAATCACAGCAAACCATCCATCTAATTTTGAGATTTACAAAATTGTATTTATCTTTTTTTAAAATGCAAAAATTGTTATTTTTTCTCCCTCTGAGTTACAACTATCTATGTCAACAGTGTAGAGCAACACTCAAAATCCTACAGCTGACATGACAAAAAACATGAAACGTTGCACTAGTTCAGAAGCTCAATAAATTTTAAAACTAAAAAGATTACAGTCCCTTTAATGAAAAACATAATTTATACATTTAAAGTAGGAATAAATAAATTATCAGTAACTGCTTCAGGAAAAGCAGTCTTTCCACTAGTCTTTCCACTGTTTGGAAAGACAAAATATCGGTTGTCTCTGATGTGTCTCCTCATTCTCCAAACATCAACTGTCACTGAGAGTTCTTGTGCTGAAGAACGTTTTGCTCCTGATTCTAGATGTAAGAAAACTGTACAGCTTGTCAGAATATGTGCTGGAAGCAATCTGTACAGGTAGGACACTGGAAATCAGTCCTTGTGGGAAAAGTAACGACAGAGTCAGTTAAAAGAGAAATATATTTGCTTTGACTGTTTCAGCTTCCTTTTTCTTAGAAGGTAACAGAACAGACTGCAAGCAGTAGAAGCAAACATTAAACACAGAAATGATTCAAGGCTCTGAAAATATTCCTAATTATTTGGTTTTCTGTTGGTTTTTTTCATCCTTAAAAGCAGTAAGACAGAAAACAGTCATAGCACAGCAATAAATGTGGTAACAGTTCCACCAACATTTCAGATAAGCAACTTGTTCATAATGAGAAATGCAATACATTTTATCAAATCACATTTAGAGTACAGTTCCCCTGCATCAGTAATAAAAAGAATGAAAAAAAGTCTCTTTTAGACAAAACCACCATTTTTACTTTTGAGCACTCAATAATCAAAATTTTAAAATAATAATAATAAAAAAAATTAGAACGCTAAAAACCATTTCTGTTGCAGTATTTCTTTTCATAATGATGTCACATACTTTGAAAAGAAACTATTACTTTTTTCCAATGGCTGGACATCTGCCTCAAAGGACAAGTGTGTTTTTTGTATTTTACATTACGATACCACAGAATTTAATGTCATTTTAAATCATCTTTGTCAATGAAGGAATTCTCATATTTTTATATAAAGACTGAAGAACACTTACCTTAAATATCATCCCTGAGATTATACAAGAATGAAATCTCAAGTTAAAATTCTAATGGAACTAAAGTCAGTGATTTAATAATTGAAATCAACATCGGATTCAAATTCTTCTTTATACAGGGAAACAGAATAAATGCTTTCTTTAAAGACAGACATATGATGACCAGAGGCCTACACTCATTTGGGAAATTAATGACAAATTTACTTCCTGAAGAATAACATATTTATATTATTATAATTAATTACAAGTATTGTTTATATTTTTTATAGTTAACAGCCTTAACGATGCACTGTTCAACCTTCAACTGGTCTGACAGCTATGAAATTCTCAGATTGGAAAAAAGAAATTTACTGAATTGTATTGACATGAAGAACCACAAAATTTGGATATTTGCAACATTAGCATTCACATGATTAACTGCTAAAAACTACAAAAGGCACTTTTTGTATTTTGCAGGTGTATTTTCTTTTCCTGTACTTTGATATTCTTTATGATCAGCATAATTACTGACCTGACTCAGAAAGTGCAGTATTGCTTTTTGTTGATTCTCTATATTGGCATTTAGTTTGTGCATCCCAATGCAAGCAATGAGCTCTGTCTCCTCTTCCAGCAGTGCACAAAGTGCTGCCTTTCTTTTAGCTCCAGTAAGAGTTCTGTTAATTCGCTCAGTCTCCTCCTGCATCCATACTGCAGATACAAATATTTGGGGTGGTTTTTACAAGATGCTTTCCAGCAAGACTTCTGCTTTCATATTTAAGAAACAACATAATTGACTTTTCTTTCAATATTCACTAAAACCCAGTTTCCATTTTAGGGAATTGATGGTTATAGCTATTTTCAATACATGCAAGATGGCCTAGAAATGAATGTGAATTATACAGATGTTCTGTGAGAGTATGTGTGTACATCAACTCCAGACTGCCAATTTGTACTTGAAACTCAAGGGTGAGTAGGAGAAAAAGAATCTGTAAGTGAGAAAAAGAATTTAGCTCCTGTGGAAATGTATGATGAAATGGCTGCATCTTACTGTGGTACCACTAGTACTCAGTGCTGAGAATATTACTGCTTCTCCCTGCATAAATGAGTAAAATCTAAAGAAGCTTGAAGTCCTCCAAAACCAAGATAAAACCTGACTGACAGTCACATTTAGCACTTCAGGTTTTACACTGGATATTGCAGTGGTATCACCTTTTGCCATCCAAGGAAGATGAGAGCACATTAATAACTCAACAGTCATTGCTTTACTCTCCCTTTCCTTTTCTACAACATAATCTTCCAAGTGGGTCAAAGTGTCCACAGAAGAAGCCACAGGATGGTCATGACAGCAGCACATGGATCAGTCCATGCTGTATAAGAATCTGACCCCCTGACACTTTTGCTGCCGATACAGAGACTACATGGCTTTAGAGAAATCTGCCTGTAAAATCAAACTGTGTTTCCTGCCTTCGCATATCCCGTAACAACTCCTGGCTTCTCCAAAGAGTCTGATCCAGTTCAAATACCTCTAGAGTTTTGTAGAGAATTTTATAAGATGCAAAACTTCAACATTTCTGAAGAATACCTCAAAGTGTTGTTATCATCCCAGAACAGTTATGGAAAAGCAAAACCCAGCATAAAAGAAAACCATTCAATATGTGATGCACTGGAAAAGCCTGTAACATCCTGGATCAGGTAAGATTAGAGGCAGGAGGAGGGAAAGGAGGAAGACTTATTTTCTGCCTGTGGCTTCTTATCTACAATACCTTATGTTTTCCATTTTAAAATATTTCAATTCATTTCCTTAAGGCTCTCCAAGCTGTAATATGACAGCTGTCTGACAAGTTCTGAGAACCCAAAGTTATATATTTTAAATAAACCCAATTCAGCAAACATCAGCATTATATAGAATTATTTACATGGAGCTGTATTATTCCTGAAGGGGGCAGCAACTTCTAAGGTGGAGCTAATAAATACAGTAAGCAATTTTATACTTTCAGAAATGCAGAAGCTGTTGCTCACCATTGATACTCACCTCTTGATTCCCCATTTACCTGCAGCCAAGTTAAAACACTCCTCTTAGATTATCTGTTCTGCAGATAATCTGTCTGCAGAGATTTTACTCATTACAATTTTTATTCCAGTGTTTATAAAGTAAAATAGTTCATACTTTTCAAATAAATAATAAATGCCTATGCAGACATGCTGAATATATAGATAGACCTCATTTGCACCATATAGTCAACAGGCAAGTTTTTGTACCACCAGGAATTGCTTGTACTGGCTGACCCTGTAATAGCAACCCTGTTGTGATTGCAGCTATAACCTTCACAGATCCCTGGAGGACAATAGTCTCATTCTATTACTGTCACAATGATTTAGCTTGTGTAAATTGTTGGCACTATAATAATGCAAAATTGTTTCAGATGCAGGTAGGAAAAAAACACCAAGTTCCTAGAATCATTAAGCTCTATTAAAATGAAGAGCATGACTGCAAATCTCCATGTAGAGAAGCGCTAGTCAACACCAGCTAACAAAAACTAAACAGTGAGATTGATACCAGACCATTATTTTTAACAAAATAGTAAAAAAAAAAAAAAAATTCAAATACTGGAATTTGTTCTGTTCTGAAGTGGTACATGTTTTTTTCAGGTTGATTAGATATGAAATTCCTGAAAATGCTTGGCTGAAACTTTTATTATTTGTGAATCCAAAGTCATTCAATTAAGCAAGAAACACTTGCAAAACAGTAAGTTTCAAATCTAAAAATATAATGAAGACCAGCACTCTTCCATGACTTCAACTGAACTTGGTTGTTTCTACTGCAAGTAAGACTTTTCACACTTTAAAACAAAAAAAAAAAAAAAAAAAAAAAAAGTGGATCATACATCTGATAGCACACTAGTCTGGAAGCAACTTCCCGAATAAAATACTGCAGAAAATCAGACGCAAAATAGTAAGACTTCTCATAACTGGCATGGAAAAAGGTATTACTTGAGTACCTTGGCTTTTGATTACTTAGTCAGATACAACTTGGAAAGGGCTTAACTCTTGGGAAGTGAAAAGCAAACTATCTACAAAGAAAAAGACGGGGGGCAGACAACCTCAAGAAAACCACAAATCTCATGAAGATACCAGTCCAATAACTGCAAAGCTCAAGACAAGCAATAATTTTTACATTTGTCACGAACAGTGATATTTATAAATCATTTATTAATTCAGACAAAGCCATTTGTTCAATGCCACACAAAGTATGACAGCATTAAAAGATTAGTGTATAACTTGGGAATTTTTGAATCGTGATCCTGAACTCTATGAATAACACATGCCACCAAATTTATGCTCAGCTTACCACTGAAGAAAGAGCTGAGATGGTTTAAGGTAGGGCAGGTGGCTTTGCAATGAAGTAGGTCATCTGTTAGATCAGCTCTACTACAGGGACAACAATACCCAAACTGGCAAAGAGCTAGACTATAAAGCACTCTAGCTGAGATAACATCAGAGTTGTTACAAGTCACAGTACAAACCTCTGGCTTTAAAAGAGACATTGTAAAAAACCAAAATTTGTCTTGCTGTTTATATGCTGGTACAAGTACACAGCTTTTGACTGTTTTTATTTTTCCAAAGGACATACTCTTAAGGTTTTTGTTCTATTTGCACCATTAGATTCTTGTAAGGTTTTATGTTAATTATCTGCAGTATTCAAATTATTTTTCTGGAAAAGTTTAGAGGTGCTTGCCTGTATTAAACATCATCTACTCCAAGAACAGGAAATGTATGACTTTCAGAATATTCTGCAGAACTCCTAAGATTTTTAAAATTTTGACAACACAGTTTTGTGAAACATGGAATGAACTAGAAAGGAGAAAAAGCATCAGTAGAGGACAACTAAGACAAAAGGAATAACTTCTGTCATATGTTGTAAAATTCTGTACAAAAATTCTTCAGCACCTTAAATGTAGAGTGAAAGATAAAAGCATCTCTGATCTAAAAAAACACCCTTTTGTTCTTCTAGCTGACCTTAACTTTAGACATAAATAAAAAATGTTAATAAAACTGCCAAAGAGCACTATTCTATAAGCCAGTTATTTCTAAAAAAGGTGTACTGGTTTTGGCTACAATAGAGTTAAATTTTAGTCACAGCAGCTTGTAAGGCACTGGATGTTGATAAGACAGGGACGTTTAGTTCTTGCCGAGCAGTGCTTCCAGAGCATCAAGGCCTTCTTTCTGTTTCTAGCAATACATAAAAGTAAAATAATTCTTTAAAAAAAAAAATCCACTGTAAAGCAGAAAAAAAATTCGTGGAAGTATCTATAAATATATGTAAAACCCTAAGTTTGTTTTAAACAAACTGCATTATTTTGTTCCTTTAAGGATATCCCTTTAAGAAAACTTACATTCCAAGTCATGATACAGTAGCTCAAAGTCTTCTTTTGTTTTAGGGTTCAGTTTTTTCTCATACTCCCTCCTCAATTTTTCTTCTTTCTCCCATTTTTTCTGTAATTCTTCTTGTGCCTCCTGTGCCAGCCTTAACCTCTTTTGTGCCTTCAGATTTTGTAATAAATTTACAGCATGCCAACGACGGAAATATTTCTGTAATACTATTACCTATATGTGATACAATACCAAAGAATCATGAATTTAAAACAAAACAACATAGTATTTTGAAGTGTAGTATTATTTCTTAACTGTTCTTTTCTCCAGCTCCCTAACTACATTTTCTAAGATTTGTCTTGTACTGAAACTAATTTAAATGTTACAAAATCAGTATTATTAATTTAAGCACTAGTATGATTACTCTATTAGGTAACTGCAGGAATTTAACCAGTGAGTACAGTGGATAAAATAGGTTCAAATAATCAAATCAAAATATAAACTACATTTAAATATCCATTTTTCTTTTTCAAATCTCCCCTTAAAAAATGCATTTTGCCATGTAGTGTTTTTATTCTTTTCCTTATCTTACTGCCAATTTACAGGGTGGAAATGTAGACACATTTGCAAGATTTCTTTTAAATTTCCAGTTAGAAAAATCAACACATAGATACAAAATCAAAAGCATTTTTTTGTGAATAAATAATAAAAGTGAAATTAATAATGCTGTTATGACAGAAATTAAAAAAGAAAATTAAATCATCGACCTTCTCAAGCTGTAGCTATTGAGGACTGGGGAAATAATAATAATATGTTAAGGGAGGATACTGCACAAGCCTCACCTTCTGCTGGTTGAGTTAGCACTTGCACTACAAACAGTTCAGTCAGATCAATGCCATGAGGTACCAAGCATTGCTCAGCATCAAAAGCTATCAAGCACAAAATCATACTAATACAGTCACACTGTCTCTGGTAATATCTTAATCTAAAACTTCTCTTGAATATATCTTCAAACAGTATTTCAGTATGGACCTATACTGCACTGGGCAAATCCATCAATGTGAACCAACACCAAGATGACATCTCTCTACTGTGCATTATCAATGACCTATAGATACTTTACAGATTCCCATAAGTGTCACTAAAGACCACAGTAAAACATATTGGTAGTCCTGAGGAAACTACTCCCTACTTGGGTTCCACTTCTACAAGATGCTCATTGCCATCAGCTAAAGCTGACTGACTTAAGAAGTTCTTACAAGAAAACTTCTGCCCAGAAAACTTCAAAGATCTTGCCAACCGTGTCAATACAATAACCAATACAATATTCTGCTTAGACACTTGAGGAATCAACTGTTTCTCCACTGAGTTGGATTGAGACTGTATATTTTCAGTAATTAAATTAATAACTAGAGCATTTACAAAGAAGTGCCTCATCTAACACAATTTAGGGCAGACTTGAGTTAGATGTGCAGTCACAGAACACATGGTTTCCAAAAAGCAGAGTGGAAGGCCTAAATGGCATCCTCTGCACAATGAATATGCAGAATCTGTAAACTGAATTGCCTCCATGAGGCAACTCAGTGCACCAGAAAAGCCCACAGACCCACTGCCTGTGTTTGAACAGCCCATTTCTACTTTAGCAGGGAGCTTGAACAGAATCCAAAATGGATCAGTTTGCCCAAGGTAACCTACTAAGTCTGATAAAAAAACTCCAACCAAACAGACAAAGAACAATAGATTGTTCTCAAATAGATTGTTCTCAAAACTCAAAAGCTTGAATGCAGATCTCCTAAATCCTAACCTAATACTCCACTTATTTCAGGCTATACATTAAGCATGCAGCTTAGGTTCTTCCAAAGAGATCATGAGAATGTTGGAAGGACAAGCCTGTTTTAATCCTTAATGTTCTACATGGACACTTAACTGTCACTGTGAGACAGAAAACAATAACTTCAGAATTCTTACTATTTAAGAGATTGCAAGGTATCAAATGTCACTAAAACCCCAGAGCAAACATGCACTTCCCCTGTATCTGAAAGATTACAAAAGATGAGCATAAGAAGACATTTTACAGTTCACTTTTAAATTCACTGAACACTCATTAAATATTCAGATAACCTTCACAATTCATTATTTTACAGATAAGGACTTACTGCTTCAAGTCTACGTTTATGGTATTCCTCTGCTGTAAAATACTTTCCAGGAGTTATTAGTTTGTCTGTCGTGTTTGACACATAAAGGCCAATTTTAGTCATCTGTGTCGATGTTGTATTTCTTGTTTGTTGTCGCGTATTTTTTTCCACGGCCGTCTGGGGAAAAAATACATGTCAGCTTAGAAGAAAATACACTGAAATTTTTTTTTCTCATTACAGTAAGTGGCGAAATTAGCTATTTGCAATAAAAATTACAAGAATAATTATATTTATCTACTAAATACTTTCAATTGCATATTTATCTCAGATTTACTTCCTCTTTCTTCTCAGAAATAGTGTCAGCATTCTATTCCATTTGGCAAAAACAACATTCTAAAAGGACATTACAAAGCCTTTACCTGTGTTTCCCTACAAAATAACTGAATTCCTTTGTCAGGTCGTTTTTTGGGTTTTGTTTGTGATCCTGCATTATGAAATTCCACTCCTGTTGACACGTTCCTAAATCCACCCAGAAAAGGTTTATTATAGGTAGGTCTTTCAACTTTTACAACTACTTCTTGAAATGAATTTGTACCTGTTAAAACAGAAGTTCCAAAATACAGATATTGCTTCTTTCAGTAACACATCTAGATTAGACCATAATTACATATGTATCGACAAAGGTGCAAAAGCAGCACTTACCTGTTTGCACTCTGACAGTTATGACATCAGGCATGTGGTAATCCTGTGGAATGACTTCTCCAGAGAAACGTTCCTGATTTTCAGACTGGACAATTTCATCAAAATTAGGCCCAGTCTTGCTAGGTGTTTCATTATCCTCAATCATGCTTGCTAAAAATAAAACCAAAATTCATTCCTGAGAAGCTTCTCAAAACAAACAAATATCTCTTTCAACTTTACCCCAAGATGATTTTATTGTAACACTGCAACACAGCATAATCACAGTTTTTTTCAGCTAAAAGACAGTCACACACCATTTGAAAGCTGAAATAGTATTATCTTACAATTTTAAAGGTGGTATCTAATGTAATAATGTCACCACATAAAGATATTCCTAGCCAGGTACTCAGAATGAGAGCAGATGAATGCAACGCAGCCAAGAGGAAAGTAGTCAGCAAGTCCATACTAGGAATTGTTATTCACTGTGCTCAGGTGCTGAACAGGATATGCTCTGTTCTGCTCTGAAGAACCAAGAAAATGGGGTCCTGTGTTGGGAAGAGGAAGTGACTGAAGACACCCAGAACAATGAAGAACAGGCGTAGGAAATGATGGAGCATTTGGGAGACTGCAGGAGAAAGACAAGGATAAAGAAGGGTGGCAGGCAAGTTACAGAGGAATCTAAGAAAGGTAAAATAGTAAGGTGATTTCTGTAATGATGGCGAAACTGCTAATTTAAATGCACATACAAAATATGTATACCTACGCATACACATTTCTGGAAATAAGGATCATTCTATAAAATGCCATCTAGAAATTACTACTACAGTTTGAGATAAAGAATACATTCCTTACCTGTGGAGCATGTCTCATATGAAAACTTAAAAGGTTACTGCAGGACCAAATCTCAGCAAGCATAAACAGAATGAGGGTGTGTGGGGGTGCGAGAAGCTATAACCAAGTTGAAGAAAAATATATCTCTCTAAACCATTAATACCCAACATTTTAACAATTTCTTTACCCATCTCTGTCCCATTTGCTGTACTCTCTGGTAGTACTGAATTTTGAGAAGGAGACTGCTGGTCCCAGCCCTCCTCTGACTGTGCAGTACCTGCAGGTTCCGGAAGCAGAGGCTTCTCTGCTGGGTCCCCAGCCTCTCCGACCGCTTTTCCTTGAGAGGATGCAGGTGATTGCTCTGCACCTGATCCTTCTGATGTAACAACTTCAAAGCCATCTGATGCATCTTCCATTTCCTAAAGCATCAGTTGCATGCTTTTAACCTTTCTGCAAGAATAATCACAGGATCTGTTATAAATTGCATACTGGCACATTTCTACTACCAGAATTATGGGTAACACACTGTCCTGAAAAGCTTTTCCTGCATCTGTTCTCAAAAGGCCTATTGAGAGAAGCATGAGATCTTTGCTTCCACCAAACAGAAAGCACTTGTGGCTGGTGTTTACCAAAAGTAACACTCAAGGCAAGCAGCCGGCACAGTTCTTTGTACCTCTCGTTCTCTGCCTACAGAACAAGATGGTACAAGGGGTCACTACCCAGAGACAGCAGACCTTTACGGTTTTTCGAGTTGCCACCGAAATGATAGGCGCTGGAAGAGTCCTAAGCCCATACTCCTCAACAAAGGACCACAACCAACCCGCAGGATCCGGGACGCAGCTCCCGGCGGGAGCCCGGGGATGCCAAACCCCTGGAGCGGGCGGGCCCCGGGCACAGCGCGCACCGGGGCCGGGGGTGCGGCTGCCGCTCGGCGCACGGCTGAGACCCCCGCACCCTCCCGCCCCTGTCCCTATCCCTATCCCTGTCCCTGTCCCGCGGCACCTCCCGGCACGGCGGCGCTCCGGACGGGCGCTGCTCGCCCCGGCGGCGGCGCGGTAGCCACGGCAACCGGCCCGGGCGCCCGGGGAGCAGGAGCGTGCGCACTGGGGAGCGGGGCCGGGCCGGGCCGGGCGGACCGAAAACGTGCGGGGATCAGAAGGGTCGGGAAGAGAGGAAAGGGAAGCGGTGCGAAAGGACGAGCAAGTGCCGTGGTTCCCTGCAGCCCACAGCACCTGCACGGACCCGAGCTGGCGGCCTGGAGCGGCCCCAGTGCTGGCACACCCGCAGGGGCCGTGCCCACGCTGTGACCCTGAGCAGAGCCATGTCAGCTCGTACCAGCCCACAGCGGCACTAATGTATGAAAACACCGTTTTTCCTTATATCCTTCTGCTGTGGATAATGGCAGAAGTTGCACTAAACCTCCAGAAGTGCTGGATATCGAGAAAGGGCGCTGTGTGTGAGTGTCGGCACCGTTCGTGCCGCACACGATCACTTCCGAGCTGTGTGGCAGTGCCTCCCCAGGACATGTTAGGTTGTGCCTAATCGTGCTGCTCTCCCTGGAGGGTCCGTGGCGTGAGGACTGAGGCTGTTAACTGGAAATTAAACACTTGCAAATCAGAATGAAAACCATACGAAATTGGATTTCCTGGTGTTTGAGGTGCCATTTCTGACACAACTCCTGCAAATGTTTTCAGCATGCTGTAAGAAAACTGAGTGGACAGTCACATCACACAACTTTCAGATGTGCAATACACAGTTCTGTGTTGCAACTCCAGGAGAATCCTGAAAAAAAAAAAAAAAAAAGCCTTTCAGCAGGCATTGAATTCAAATGTATACTCAATAGTTGTATGCCATGATCATTGTTACCATGTTTCCCAGACATTGTTTGGCACTTGAATGTGGGCCTGCTCCGCATCTAAAGGACAGAAATTTCCCATTACTACTACTAATGCTGTTTTATCTAAAACCTTGTTTGAACTCCCAGAATAGGATCACCATTAATCCTATAGAAAGATACTGTCATTTGTGTCACTTTGTCACTGTTGTGTAGTTGATTAAACATTCAAGCTCATTTTCAAGTTGCAATGATTTTTCATTGCAACTTGAAATAAGAAATACAAATTACATGCTAATGAAATAGCATATAAGCTTTGAATATTAAATAATAATAATAATAATAATAAAAAAAAAAAAGCAGCTTTCACTCATCTCCTATTGGTTTTGGTTTCAGGTTCAGAACACAGCCACTCGTGATAGGTTAAGCAGCACAGATGGCAGGTTAGGAATTGCAAAAACCTCAGTATTTGCTCTGCTCTCACCATGGGAAAGTTGTTTTTCTGGTCTAACAGCCTCTGTCTCTGCTAGGTCCCATCCTTGCAGATAAACTACATTTTTATTCACATGACTTCAATCAGATGATCTCAAAGTGTTTTAAAGATATAAAGTTTGTTAACTGTACAGCTTGCAGCGATTTACCTTACCATATTACAACAGATTATAAAATTATTTGCATCATCATCTATTTTCAACAATTAAAGGAGAAAACTCAAGCAAAATCACTAGTTAGCCTTCAAATTATACCTTCCTAGCATATTCCTCTTGGAAAAAATTAGGACCTGTATGGAGGACACAGATGTATATTGGTGAAAGGATAAGAGTATGTTTTTTTTTGTGAAATTCAGTTTTAAAAGGCCATGTATCAAATTTCAGCAGCGGTGGGACATGAAAAAAAACTCCTTGGAGCACAATTAATGAGCTTATAGAACAGCTGTTTTAAATCACATGACAAATACATCTTTAGAAGTAGAGAAAATAACTGAACAAGAAAAGAGTTCAGCAAATGTCTCAGGTATGGAATAATAGAAGGAATTCCGATAGTTGCTACCATATTCTGGCAAACTTCCTTCCCCCCCACCTCCAGTATTTCATGCTACTCTCATTTATTCTAGACTTTGTTTGTTGTGGGTTTTTACATTTTTTAGTTTACATTATTTTGATTCCTCTCAGGTGAGCTCAATACTTATTACCAAAATCCATTAATTTTCATTACTCATGTGACAGCACTGGCCCTCATTCAAGTCTGTAATCCCTTAATATTTCTCATGTGAAAATTGTGTTTGTTAACGAAGTCCTCTTCTGGAATGCCATCTAGTGGTTTTACTTAGGAAAAGACCAGCTTCTACCTTGGTCAAGACTGAAAAATCCTTCAAACAATGAAACTAAGTATTTTTCACTTTTTTAATTTTCAAAATCTAAAAATTTCTGTAATTATAGTAATAATAGTTGGGGGGGGGAATCCAGTGCTAAAGAATGCAGTGAAAATAGCTTCTGGAGTGAATACGTTGGGAATACTGTTTTTCTCTTCTATTGACCTACCCCCCAATACCATTGCATAAAATATGATATAAATTTGTAATTAATCATTTATAATAATGATGTCACAAGTAAATTTATAAACCTAAAAACGATGAAAAAACAGCTATGACCAAGTATGTTGTGTAAGTAGTGCACATGCAAATGCTTATTAAACTGCAGATTTTTGTGATATAGCTGTATTCCTGTCTTTAAACTTGCAGGAATGTTGCTAATGGTCTTGAAAAAAACATCAGTAAAGGCAAACCTGCACAGTGCCCTTAGATCTAGTTTGGATATTTTAATTGGGATTTAAGATTAAATCTCTGAACAAAAGCTTACAAAAGAATCATAGAATATCCTGAGTTCCCACATCACAGAATATTCTGAGTTGGAAGGAACCTGCAAGGGAGCATCAAGTCCAACTCTTAAATGAACAGCCCATGCAGGGGCTGAACACGTACCCTGATGTGATTTGCCCCAAGTTTTAACAACTGAGCTAATCCCTGTGGCTGAAAAACATTTCCTAATAGCAAACCTGGACCCCTCATGATACAGCTTCATGCTGTTCCCTTGGGTCCTGTCACTGGTCACCAGAGATGAGTCCCTGCTCTTCCACTTTCCCATGTGACAATGTGGAAGACCACAATGAGGTCTCTCCTCAATCTCCTCTGCTCCAGACTGAACAGGCCACAGTCTGTCCACTGACCTCAGCCAGTCCTCATATGGCTGCCCCTCAAGGCCCTTCACCAGCTTCCTGGCCCTCATTTGGACACTCTCTAAAAGCTCTTTATCTTTCTTGTGGTGCCCTAAACTGCCCCAGCACTCAAGGTGAGGCCATCCCAGCTCAGAGCAGAGCAGGACAATCCCCTCCCTTGCCCTGCTGGCCATGCTGTGCCTGATGCCCCCCAGGACATGGCTGGCCCTCCTGGCTGCCAGGGCACTGCTGACTCACATTCAACTTGCCACTGACAGAACCCCAGGTCTCTTTCTGCAGCGCTACTTTCCAGTATCTCATTCCTCAGTCTGTTGCTACATCCAGGGTTGCCCCATCCCAGGCACAGAATCCAGCATTTGTTTCTTTAACTTGATATGCTGATGGCCCATCTCTGTAATCTGTTGACGTCTTGCCGCAAGGCCTCTGCTTCTGAGGGAGCCAACAGCTGCTCCCAAAGTAGTGTCATCAGCAAATTTACTGAGTATCCCTTCTTGTCCTGCATCTAAGTCGTTAGTGAACATACTGAAGAGCACTGGGCCTAAGATGGAGCCCTGCGGGACCCAGCTGGTGACCGGTAGCCAGCCTGTTGTCACCCCATTTACTGCAACATGTAACACTCAAGATGTGAATCAATACAGGTCTACACGACATCTCCTTAAGATCCCAATCCCAAGGTTTGTGCCACAGGTGTTATGCCAAGTATGGTAACCTACCTGTTAACAAGAAACCTGTTGCTGCCATCAACGTCAGTAGCAGTCTTCTTTCTCCCCCTCACCTCTCCCATCTTCCCAGTACCTCCCAGAAGCCAGAAATAGTGTTTAGTTATGTGGGCAGCAGGGTCAGCCAGTTCAGGACAGGGATTCAGCTGACACCTAAACTCCTGTTCTTTTTGGGAAGCCCCTCACTGCAGTATCTGCATGGTCACTAAGACCCTGTCAGGGGGTAGCAAAAATACACAGCCAAAGGTGGGACAAAGTCATCTTCTACAACTTGGATTTTGATTTTAAGTGGCCTACAATATCTGTCTTTTTAACATACAAATACAGATTATAAAAACAACTCAACATAAGGCACAAGTACCCTATTAATATAAAATGCAAAAATTTAAAGAAACAAAAGGTTGTAGGAATGCCAGAAAGAATTTTCTTAAAACCATTTTCCAAGAAATTGGCAGCAGCCTTTAGATTGCTAAATGTAAGTGGACAAAATATATTTTAATGATTATTTTAATTATCTTTAATTTAAAGACAACTGTCAGTAACAATAGGTTAATAATTAATTTTTTCTTTTTACTTTCAAGAGGTCACACCATTTTGAAAATTATATTGGCCATCTCCACTGATCAGAAGGAGGTTCTTCAACTAGAGGCTCCCATGGTTTCCACTGTATCATTTTTCTTGCCAGGGACAGCTCATTTTCAGCCTGTTAATAAACACCATACACAAAGTCTTAAATATTATACAATTGCCAAAATATTAAATTACCTCTATGTCAGTTAATTACCTCAGTGATGTCACTATCTATCATGATCACAGATCACCACAAATTTCACCTATAAACATCACAGGAACTGTATGCTTTTGGGTTTTTTTTGGTTTTTTTTTTTTTTAATCCCATCACCCCTAAACACCCAAACAGCCATTCTGTTCAGTGAGACATTCCCAATGACAACTTCATGGTATTTTCCACTTGGTTTGGATTTCCCCCAATATTATTCAATCCTCTTCTGCCCTTTTCACTGATTTAGACTCTGAAAGAAACAGTGTAGGTATACATGCATATCTGTAAGCATAATGCAAGAAACAGTTGTTAATTTGTTAGGTTTTAGCAAGGCCATCCCATCACTACATGACAATTTGTTTTCAGGGGTTTTTCTTCTGTTTGACTGTTTTGCAGCAAAGGAAGATACACAAAACTTCCAATTTGCTGAACAAAAGCTTAGCCCAAGGAGCATTAAAAAACACTGCCACATCTGTACTTCATCTCAAATTTCCCCTCTTTACCTGTACAATGACTTCTTCTATCTGACCACTGTTCAGTTTGTCCTGTAGTTTTTGCACATCAGACTCCTGTGTGTTCAAATACAAACAATAAAATGTTTCAGTGAGAGTAGAAAGCCCATGAAAAGCATGAAAACAATAATTTAACCAGATCACACTCCAGTCCTTCTCAGAACTACTATTAAATCAGCTGGCTTATATCATTTTACATTATCAAAGAAATCTCACACTCATTTGTTACTGAGAAGCAAACATCAAACACTCAATGATACATACAAAGAATGAATGCTATTTACTGACTCCAAAGAAGTATTAGCAGATAAAGGCTTTCGTTTTTATCGTGGAAAAAAGTCTTGTTCTTAGATTTTTACAGAATTATATGCAAGCTTTCAATTATCACCTAAACACACAATAACAGTATTGCAGAGTTTAATGCAATAAAAAGTGGTCATGAATATTGAAGGCAAGGATTATGCTAAGATACTACACTGGCAAGAGCACATATTTTTTTTTGTGCAAGTGTGTAAAGATTACCACTTTTCTATGAATCTTTCAAAAAAACCTATGTTTGCTTCTAATTTTCACAAAACATCACCAGGAAATTAACAATTCCTTTTCATATGCCATCAAAATATCCTAGTCAATAACCTTGATACTTCAATTGTTTCTGAACTGACATCTGAAAGTTACATGTGCACCTGAGAAACAGCCAGGCACTCCAAAATCACTTTTCTATGATTTTTTTATGTGCAGCATTAATGAATTAGCACTGTACTTACCTTTTTCACCAAATCAAATCGCTCATTTACAATCTGCTCGGTGTATTTCCTGTAAGCTGCATCTTTGGGAATGTTTTCCAGGACACCAAGGATTTTTGTGTACAGTATTCGCAGGCGCTGAAGTGATCACAAGACACGGTTAAAATACACAACTGCAATTATTGAACTTCTTGTCCTACCAAACCTACTAGGCTACTATCTATACACAAAACATGGTATTCAATCCAGAAGTGTATGATCAACATAATTAAGTCTGAGCCACTGAACTCCATCTTGGGTAAATCAGGGATTTCTCAGGACTGAAAAAAACTACTGCTGTCACATTCCTCAAAACTAAAAAAAACCATGAAAAAATAAAGACAGTTGCAATCTGAACACACTTGATGCAAAATGAAAAAAACAGTAAAGGCCATAAAGTGCTCTTAAAAAAAAAAAAAAGAAAAAAAAGGCAAATTCATGTCTAACCCATCATACTGAAAATTTACTTGAGTAGATACAGCGATTATAAATGGAGGTTTTTTTGTCACTTTTCCTCGTGCAAAGTTCTGAGTAACACATAGATTTAAATTAAATCTGAAACTTTTCTTGCTGGATTTAAATGCAGGGATAAAGGACATATTGTGGTAAATAAATTCACACTTTTGTACTGGGTAATTGTATCTACCTGACAAGGAATGGATGTCCTACAGGAAAAAAAAAGAAATAGAAGCAGAATACTAAAAGAAGTACAAGGAAGAAAAAACAGGAAACAAAAAGAAGATTGGCAAAGAATCTGAACTTCAACTAAACCCTTGTCCAGTACTTTACTCTTAGCTTTAAGTTGCTGAAAAAAACCTAAAATGTACTAAGTTCACCCAGAAGGTGACAAGGCTGTAGACTGAGCTAAATAATTTCCACCAAACAGTAGTGATTTTTTCAAGGGTTCTTTTTTACAGCATTCTTAAGTATTGGAGTCAAAGGCATTTTTTAAGTAGAATTGCTGTATAAGAAATTTCAAAGTGGAGAACTTAAAAAAATCCCTGAAGTTGTTTCAAAGCTAATGCCCCCTGAATAAGCCTGATGTGACAAACATACTTACACTACTGAGCCTGAGGAGGTAAAAAGAAAGCCACATATTGCTAGGAGAACCACCCAATGCAGCTTCCGAGTACCACTGAAGTATTCCATCCCAGGGCCTTGGTGTGGCTTTGCACATGGCTACTCTCTATCATCTAAGACTAGGCTATCCCTTTAGTACAAGGTATTTCAATTCTTGCTTACCCAGCAAAGCAGCAAAAATCTTTTTGCCTGCGAAGCAGGAACTGTAATTATGAATAGAACTGAATTCAAAGAGTACTTTGTTTTGGCATTACTGATGAAAGAAGTCAAATATTGGTTCATAAAGATACTTATACTACAGAGGTTTTTGAAATCAGTGCATGCCACAGAAAGTACATGTGTAAACTAACTTATAATGACATGCATTAAACCTTTATCACAGTGGACTATTTTAATTACTTCGTTAAGCTGGCACTGCATACCTACATATGCAAACACATCACAAAAACCTTAGAGCTCACAGAGAGTTTCCATTACTACAGAAAGAGACATGTTATGTACCTCATGAGGGTTCTCAGCTACAGCCAATCCTACAAGTCCAGTGGTCTGCAGAGAGAGCATAAATATACTTAACACAGCTAAGCATCCATTTCCACACTAATTATTTTGTTTTGACTCAATATACACCCGACAGGGACCACTCCATGACACCAGCCCTACCTCCTGCCAATGCCCATTATCCCAGAGTTCCAGTACTCCACGAGGGAGCAGCTCACCTTACCAGAATCAGAATCATAAAATATCCTGAGTTGGAAGGGACCCACAAGGATCATCCAGTCCAACTCCTGCCCTGCACAGCATGGCTCCCAGGGGTCACACCATGTGCCCAAGAGCACTGTCCAAAAACTTCCTGAATTCTGTCAGGCTGTGACCTGTGATTCTGTCTGGTGCTGTGACCACTGCCCTGGGGAGCCTGTTCAGTGCCCAACCACTCTTTGGGTGAAGAACCTTTTTCTAACATCCAACCTAAACCTCCCTGACAGAACTTCAGGCCATTCCCTCGGGTTCTGTCACTGGTCACCACACAGATCAGAGTCTGCCCCTCCTCTGTAACTGCAGTGCGGCGTCCCCTCAGCCTCCTCTTCTCCAGGCTAAGCAGACCAATGACCTCAGGCGCTCCTCACAGGGCTTCCCCTACAAGCCCTTCACCATCTCCGTCGCCCTCCTTTGGATGCTCACTAACAGCTTAGTACCTTTCTCAGATCGCAATGATCAAAACACTCAAGGTAAGGCCGCCCCAGTGCAGAGCAGAGCGGGACAATCCCTTCCTTCGACCGGTATGTGTGATGCGCACCAAGCAGCTGCTGGGGCAGCTCCGGTGCCCCCGGCTCAGCCGCCCCCGGCTGCCGGGGAGGCGACCCAGGCCCTGCGCTGCCCGGGGCCTTTCCCTCGCAGGGTGGCCGCTCTCTCTCACCCCACGGCTGCGGCACTCCTTGCCCTCCCCCAGAAATGCCGGCCCCGCGCAGGAGCAGGACGCGGCTCGAGGCCCTCGGCACCGCCTCACCTTCCTCAGCGCCCCCGCCATGGCCGCGCTCGCGGCGCCCTCAGAGGACGCAGCGGAGGGCGCCGGGCTGCGCATGCGCCGCAGCGGCCCCGGCCGGCGGGGCGGCAGCAGTGCGCGTGCGCCGGGGCCGCTGTGGGAGGGGCCGCGGTGGAGTCGGCCCGGTGGGAGCGTGTCCGGACGTGGGAGCGCTCCGGGAAGCAAAAACCGCCCTGAAACAGAACTAGGCAGAAAATAGACAATAGGGAACTTAATTAAGGACCTTGACATAGAGACAGTGGGACAAAAGAGCAATGAAAAGACAGTTTAAATTATTGGTAGAGGTGAACATGATGTTCATTTGAAGATCATCTTCCCTCTGTATCATCTTCTCTCTGTTAAGTCTTATGCTTAGTTGCTAACTTAAAGCGTGACTTTTGCATAGTCGTACTTTACGCTAATTATGTTGTAAGTTTGTATCTTATTCTGGACAAGTCTTTCTTTATATTTCCTTTGTCCTGCTCTTGAGCTCCTGTTTTTAATAACTAGTAGGCATACTCCACCAGCTGAGTTTATAATATCTGATTTCTCTCTGGAAGCCAGTGCTTTGATAAAACAATGTGCAACTAAAGCAAAGTGGCTAATACAGCTTATATCAGTGTTCAGGGTTTGTGTTCTTAGCAATTGCATCAAAGAGCTGGAGTTTCTTGCCTAGGTGCTGAAATTCTTTCTCTTTCCAAAATGCCAGTCTTTAAAAGGTCCTGCCTTTCTCTTTATTGGCCCAGCCCTGTATTTTCCCCGTCTCTCCGATGGTCCAACCAGATGACCAGTGTCCTGGTGGCACTAACAGAGCACAGCACAGGTGGTTCTGCGCTGGAGATCCTTTAACGCGGTCAGCGTTGTTCCAGCAGTAGTTTTGAGTGACTGTCCAGACAGCCTAAGCGTGCAGGAGTCCTTGCCACATCCTAACAATGGGAAAAACAGCCGGCCTTGTTGAGGAAAATCGATCTCAAACTGGTACTGTGGGAAATTCTCCAAAATGGTCAAATCCCATTTCAATACATGATTTATTTTAAAATACAACAACACTGGAACCTATAAAGAATTATCAGTGTACAGTCAACACTGACTTTGAAAACAAACAAACAGAAAAAAAACCCAAACCACCCACATAGCATTTCACAGTTTATTTATTATTTGTTTTACACTGGTGATTCTGTTAGGACTAGTATCCTATGTGTTAATATTCAGTATGTAGGTAACCTAAGAAGGCCTTGCTACAGCTCTTCGTTCCCTGTTTGTCTCACCAATGAGTTTATCTCGTGGTATTATATCTCAAATTGCCGTGTGATGTGGTATATGTACAACAACAACTTATTTATTCTGCAGAAAACATAATTGATGATTTATATCTAGTAATTATGTATGAGTGGAATCAGGCACTTCATGCACAATCCATAATGTTATTAAAATATCTGAAAATCAAAACAATACCATGTTTGTAATGTGGATATTTACTAATTCTGATGGTGTCCTGGTTATGTAAAGGAAATGAAAGAACTGAAAGTAAATAATTACAATATTTGTGTTCTTGATATATACTATAAATACATATTTTTCATTTTTTAATTAGATAAGAATATATCTCTCTTCATATAATCTCCTAGCCAGCAGTAGGACAGGATCTCAGCATTGTTTCTGTCTGCTTCTGTTATACTGGGGTTCTTTAGGGGCATGCCACCTTTAGTTAGATCCCACTGGCCAAAGAAGTTGCAGTGAATATTATTTATCATCATTAAATGTTTTGGTTGATCTCACATGCAAAGATTGAAATGCATGTAGTGCCTTAGTTAAGCTTACACTTTTATGGTTCTATAAATGCAAGTGAGTCGAAAGTCATGGAAGAGTTCACTGTAAAATTTAATTTCATTAGAACAATTAAAGACAAGATGGAAGTTTGGGGGTTTTTTAATTTGTTGTATGCCCTTATTGTCTGTTCATTATGGTAAAAAGGATAACTTATTGGTTAAAACCAGAAAAACACAGATTTTGAATCCGTGTTGTTTCCAGCTTCTTCCTCATCCTGTGCCTGGGTTTGGCTTGCTGGGTTTGGCATGCTGGGTACTGCTGTTCTTGATCTTACTCTGGGATTATTCAGTATTTTCATCACTGCTGTCTGTGGTGCCATGCTTCCTGCTTCTTTGTCCAGCTTCAAGTTATTAAACTAGTTAAATAAGTACTGTAATTGTCTGCCATTGAATCTATAAAGCTTTGCATCATGTCAGCCTCAGAGAGAGAGGTGGGTGTTTGGTGATGTAACATGGTGGGATCTGCAGCTAGTTGAAGGCTAAACCTTCTCAAATTTGTTGTGATTTATGTAAATATGCTCCCATGTGTTGTTAATGTAGTGCTTGAGAATAATTGGCAAATAATTAATTTTCTTAATGGGAGTTGTTTAACCAATGGGGACACAGATAATCTTATATCCCCAGACCTCGTGTTACATTTGATGAGATTTTAGAGAAGTCATGTGTAATACTTTCCTGAGGGTCGAGTCTGCTTATGTTACAGTTGTACAAGGTCAGACCTTAATTTATCTAGCAACTGCGTATTTAATTTTAGAAGTATCACAGGACACCTCAGCTTGCAGGGCACTGTTCCTGGCTGTTCAAAATTCAGGCCCCAGAGCAGCACTGGCAAGATAATGGGTTGAAATGGTGAGACTGTGCTATGCTGGCCAATTAAACTAGCAGAGAAATAGTTTAAAAACTTAATACTTGAGACTCTGAGTCCAAATTTAGATTGCTAGTAGTTATTTTATTGCTATGAATAACCTCTGTGCATGCCTAAGGGCCTTCTATTTAAAGAGTAAAGCTAAGATTGTCTAGTCTATTTTAAGGATAAGAAATTAGAATAACACTAACTCTCACATAACTTTATGTGTTTAAAAGAAATAAATGCTTGATACACTTCTTTCCAAGGAAAGATACAAACTTCCATGATTAGGAAGTAGTTCATATTTTTTCTAATGAGAAAACAGCAATTTAGAGAGAAAAAACATTTTTTCTAAGTACAACATCAAGAAGCAATATCTAGTTTTTCAGGTATGAATATAAAAAGTATCAGAAAAGTATCAGGCTACTCAAAAGGTTTTTTTAAGGAGAATGTTCTTTGTAATATAAAAATATAGAGTAAGGGTTTGCAATTGTTTCCAGTGATCTAGTGTGTGGGTCTGCCAAGGGTGAATGGAAGAAGATTTTCCTGCTGAGCTTTTTAGCCTTTTCATTGCCACATCACGTAATGGAGCAGCGATGTTTCTGTTGCTTCTCAGTGTACCAGCCATGCTGTTTTGCTCCCCTGTGATCCTTGTGGAACATCCTTGCTTTGGTCAGACCTTGTCGGCTCAGCACAGTGTATTACCAGCAGTGATGGAGCAAATCAGGCTCCCGGAGCACGTGTAGACCCTTGGCAGCGTGTGCAGAGCTGTGGGGAGCTCTTTGCCTTACTCTGACTCTACCCTGCCACAGTTACTTGCTTTGAACCAACTTTCCCATTTTACAGTATGTGAACTTTTGTGGGATGAGATCATTTGCAAATAGTACACACAGCAATTTTGAAACACTGCTCATCTGAGACCTTTCTGGTTAAGTTTGTGTTCGAGAGTTTTTGGTGCCTGTGGTGAAATCACTCAGGGGAGCGTAGCAAAGCAGGAGAAAGTTTTGGGTATGGAAACTGCATAACCAGAGAAAATTTTCTGTGGTGGCCTCTAAACTGGTTTTATTTAATTCCTCTGATCTTTTGGAGAGAAAGGAGCAATAGAAAGGAAATACACTCTAATGAAAATAAAAGGATTTTATTACTAAAATCTATCTTGCTTAGTGTTCCTAACTCTTCCGGAAACACTAATGTTGGGAGCATGTTGATCATCTGGCATGAGTAGACCATATGTGAACATTGCTAAAAAGTCTTTTTAATACACTAAACTGACTTTTTTTTCTGGAGAGTTTGCAGTGTGAGGGTCTGATCTAAGGCCTGTGTAAATCTTCAGGAGCCTTTTTCATTCAGGCTCTGGAGTAAATATAATATGATGGGCTGGAATATAATAATTCTCAACTTTCCTAAGGACAGCAACTTCAGTAAGGCTGGCAGGGCATGAAGGCCCCTCTATGTGGATCCAATAGGGTGATCTTGATTCATTAAAAAAAAGTTTTATCAATGGCTTAAAATCTTCAGATAGAGGGTTTTCAAAATGAAAGGTGGGGAAAAGGGGAAGGTAACTTTTGTCTTAAAGCAGTTGTGGAGGAAATAAGATTATGAATGTTACATATTTTTCCATAATAAATTAACTCACGTAAATTAACTGTTCCATTAGGAGCACCTCTTAGCTGCCAACAAGATATTAATGTGCTCTAAAATGTATTTTCCTTTTAGCTGATGGCAGGTTGAGGTTGCAGTTATGTTCATTGATGTATACTTCTGAAACTGCTAGTCCGGGAGAGATTTTATCTTTGCTCTCTAAAAGGTTTGTGGGTGTTCATAACAAGAGTGTATTTGTGAGTTAAATGATGGAAGCTTTTAAGGTGCCATCAGAATTTGAGAAGTGTTAATGAAAATGAGAGGAAAAATGCATTAAAGAATCTTGCCTCAGAATTCTTCTGCCTGTCAATGGAGTGTATTGCCCACAAGAGATGAGGGAGAGTGGTACATGTCCACATTGTGATGAGCAGTTGAACAGTCTAACTACTGTGTTAAATCTTCTTTTGGCCTGTTATGCTGAAACCTTGACTATGGACACAATAGAAAGGGACAGAGAAGAGAACCTTCAGAAAATCTTGTCCTTTATGAACAACATGAAGGTCTTTTTTTCTAAGCCCCAAATGAAAATGTATTAGTGAATATTCTTTTATTATTCTTGGACTTCTTTTTTTTTTTTTTTTTTTTTTGTGTTCAATGATGGCACTCAAGACCCAAGTTGTATATTTTCTCCATCAGAGAAAATGGGATTGACGCAGAGATTTCAAACATCTTCCTTCAAATTTCTTTTCTTGCAGTTGAAAACCCAGACCATGATTCCAGTACACATTGAAAGAAGTGAGAGACTGTATTATGTGGGAGTCTGAATCCAAGAGACCTTTAGTCAGTCAGTTTCTGAGTCAATCTAAATGTAAGCCCTTACTGATTTAATTTTGGTTTGCAAGCTTTATCATAATATACTAACTAGTAAGGTAGTTGTGGATGGGATTATAATATTGGCTATGGTACTTCGAGTGACTTAGTGCTTACAAGAGCAATGCAGAAACTAGTCTGAAGAGAAAGTTGATTAACACTTCCCCTTGAAAATAAGTTCTAGAAGATTTCTTCCAAATACCATTTCCAATGTTCCTTCTCTGTTTGCAGGATGACTAGAATCATGATCTATGACAAACATACAACAGGGAGTTAGTATAACTGTGTAATATTTGTGCAACATTTTGAGGATGATAAGTGTTCAGTGTGATAGAAAGAGCACATGACTGCACAAATTGTGGAAGTAGTAGTTTAAAAATAAAAAATAAAAAAAGATCCAACAGGACACATGTGTTAAGCCACTAAGATTGAATCAAACAGAGAAACTATCAAAATTCAAAGCTCATTTGGAAAAACCTAGGTAGATACAAGATATATTAACTTAAAGCATTTTTCTTTCTGTGTGTTTTACAACATATAAAGACTGCATTTTACAGTTCAAAAACCTAGAAGATGTTGTAACAGGCAAAATTCCCAACCTTCCAGTTATAATGAGAATTTACTAGTAAGATGGTTGGTTGATGTGATATCATGAGGAAAAAGCTTAGTGAACATAAGCCACAGTTACAGTTGGTGATATGAACAGACTGAATTAAGTTGATGACTACAGTTAAAAGGTTTGACATACTCTGTTACTAATCCACTGAGCATTTCAATGACTCTCACACCTTGAAAATAATAGCTGGCATGGCTTGACCATTGCCTGACCTTGTGTACCAAACTCATGTGAATGTCCACTAAACTTCACAACTGCAGAAATAGTGCAGGGAGTCCAAAGACCTTTTTCTTCCTTAATAGACTGTGCTTTGGCAGTATAAAGATAAAACAATATTTGTGAGTGTTTGGGGTTTGTTTTGGGCGGTTTTAGCATATTAAGGACCATTAAAAGAGATAATGACATGAGATGAGACCATTTCATTGTATCACCTAGTGAGAACAATGGGAAAATTGTAACATCCATGGAGCAAGGTGTCCTGGGATGAAGACAGAACAAAACCAAGAAACAAACAAAAAACAAACCAAAACAAAAACCACACCCTAAAATTAAATAAAATAGTCCCTTTGCAAATCTGAGCTTTTAGCATACTATTTTTTCAACTGCATCACATTTATCTGTTCAAGTGTGTAAGGTCAAGTATCTGGGCTTCAAGAACCTGACATATGCTTTGAAGGAAACTGATCAAAGAGAGTGGTTTCTGCTGCACGAGGTTGCAGTTCGGCCAATTCCACAAGTACTTGAAGTCACTTTAGATGGCAGGAAAGATTAAAATGCCCCATAAGATAAAGGGAACAATGAAGAAACATAGAATAATGAAGATACCAACGGGCTAGAACTGTTAGCTAAAAGAAGTATGATCAAGTCCTCCATGGAGCATCTTCCTTGTGTTGTTTAAATGTTCCAGCAAATTTTCTGGTTTTGGAAAAATTGCATCAGTTTACACCAGCAAATAAATTGGACCATTTTTAACATTTTGTTCAGAAGCTTACAGACAAAGCAACAATTACTATTCAGTATTCAGTGTGTTTGGCAGTACTGTTAGGTTAACATATTACAAATGCTTTTAATAAAAACCTGGCATTTAAGGATTTCTGATATATGTGTATGTGTTAACAGCCTTGTGCTTTATTTTATTTTCTTGTTTTTCACTTTCTTACCTCTAGCATCTTATGAATCAATGTGGCAATAAAAAACATGCAATGGAAAACAGCACTAACTTTGGCAGCAAAAACTGGCTTTGTGGAAAATGTGCAAATGATCCTGGAAAAGGGTGTTTATCCCAAAACCATAAATTACAAAGAGAAGCTCATTGGTCAACAGTGCAAGAAGCTGCAAAAAAGAGATGCAAAGACATTGCTGACGTTCTGAAGAATGATAGAAATGTTAACATTAAGGACAAATACTGAGTAACACCATTGGGGGTTACGGCTGAATGTGGTCTCTGTGATGTGCTGGAGCATCTTAATCATAATGATATGTAGTCAGAAAAAGAGAAATTCACCTCTGCACTGGTATACATCTTGCCTGAGTGCTGAGGGCACTGGTATACATCTTGCCTTGAGTGCTGAGGTCTTTTAGGAAAAAAAGAGGAAATTAGCTAAAAGGAAAGGAAGCACATGTGAGTCTTTCTGCTGGATTGGAGTGATGCTTACATGTTTCTGTAAGTGCCTGTGGGAGGAGTGGCAGAGTTGAAAGCAATCCATTTCAGTCAAGGAGAAATTGCTATACGTGCTCTTCTTGCCCTTCTATGTTTCTCTTTACTCCACTCCATCCCTCCCTCACTCCTACCTTTCCTTCCACATATGGAATTATATTGGTATTAATTAATGAAGTATATTTGAAATATGGTGGTTTGAAAGTCCTCACTTGTAATGCTTACAGTCAAAGCAGAGTCCGCTCAGGCGAGCACTTGAACTTGTGTCTGTACACCTCTTATTTTGGTAAGTTCTGTATCCTCTTTTGAGGTGGACATGGCAAGGCCTTAGCAGATGATTGTGTACCAGTTGGAGGACATGGTCTAGGCTGCATAGCTCTGCTTTTGGAAGGAAGTGGCAATGTGCTGGTGAGGCAGGACTGCTTCCCATACACAAAGTGGCTTATGAGGGGCATCACCTGTGAGTATGAGCATGGACTTCACATTTTCTCTAAGAAACAATGTGGTACAAGGTTACATCAAAGATGTCTGTAGTAAACTTGCAAACGTATATTTATGTACATTTCTATTTCAGAAGTACCTGTGTTACATTAGATTTAATTATCTTTTATTTTTAGCATAAACAAAGCAAAATGCAAAACATGCTTCTTAGAATTAAGTGAAAACCACAGAAACAAATTAAACACATCTTATTTGACGGTGCTCAAAACTGGTGTTTCTGTGTTTTGATCTTTTGTAAGATGTCTAGGTGGTAACTAAGAACATAAATAGGTGAGGGTTATTTTCTTCCTGTAAGGAAGTTACACCTGCCTAGTTTTGTTGACTGTTTTTTAGGGGCGGGAAGTATCTCATTATAGCCACGTCCCAAACTTTAATCCAGGAAAGTGGGTCAAGCACTGTTCATTCTGCTGTAGACAGCCAGAACCAGTGTCTAGAGCTTGTCATTGAAAATGGTTTGGATGTCAACACTCTCTTGTCTGAACACTTAATTTCAAATACTTATGATGACAGAAGACAGCCTGCACTTTGTTGTGCTGTTTTTAATAATGAGATTCTTTGCACCAAAATATTGCTCAAAGCAGGAGCAAATCCAAACAAGGATCCTTTAAACTTTGTTCTCATAGCAGTGACAGCCATGGAATTCTAAAGCTACTCCTATATTATGGAGCAGATGTCAACTGCTAATTTTGTTGCTTAATGATACGCATTTCCCCAGTGCATTTGGTATTCTTTGAATGGTGACATGATGCTGAGGCTGTTGCTCAGGCATGGATATAATGTGGAGATGTGTTTGGACTTTATGTGTCAGGGTATCTTGGGAAATTCTTTTGTGTGGCCAGCCCCAGAGCTTGAACTTATTCCCAGTTGGACTACTTCAATAAATAATAAACTAATAAATACATACCTTCCTTGCTTCTCTTCACTTTGCTCTTTTCATTAGCCAGATTGAAACACTCTGGTTATAGTGTTGAATTTAGATTAACATACTGTCAAAATAATTTTTTGAAAACACTCTAAAAAAAAAAAAAATCGCCATTTCTCATTTTCCTCTCTGAGGCAGAGAAAATGACGTACATATGGTGGTGATGTGGTTTTATATTTGCATTAATTTATTAGAGATTTAGAAAGAAATTTTAAGAAATCATGAGGAAGCATTCTGGAATTTCTGTTCCTTTCCTAACTACTGGAGATGATGTGGTTCCAAATAAATATTTCTGTTGAACAAAACAGTGCCACGGATTACTTTCTTCTTTTTTTTTTTTTTTTTTTTTTTTTTTTTTTTGCCTTCAAGACTGTTTACATAAATTAAGGTTCACAAAGGCTAAACATGGAAGAAAATGGATTTAAAAGTAACCTACCTAGGTATCAATTCGACTGTTGAAGACCATTGCTAGGACTTTGTTTAAATTATCTTCTGTAATTACTTTAAAATATGTTCTTTAGCATTTCTCTGCGCAGATTTTGAAATTATGGCTGGATGTGTTCTCTGTTTCAGTTCTTTCAGTGAGTTTATTGCTGTTCCATGATTGAGACATTTAGCTGGAAAAATGGCTTTTGTTTTTTATAGATTACACAGATTATGTGCCTGTAAGCAAAACAATTCAGTTTTTCATAGAAACACAGAAAAAAATGAACAGAACCATAGACTTGATAAATATTTAGCTTCCAGTTAATAATGTTATGGTTTATTATAGGAAATTTTAATTGCTTATGTCAGGTCACGTTCATCCAAAGTGTTGTAGCATACTTTGTATATTGAAGATTGTTGTCCTATGTAAAATTCTTCAAACATCTAAATGATTATTTTTAGGTATTTTTGCAAAGTGTTTGCTTCCAGGTACAGTTTCGTTTCTCTGTGTGCATGTTTCAAGGCTTGGTAATATTTAAGGACCTTTAGACAGGCTCTTTTAAAAAAAGAGTAGATTTTGATGGGCAAACCAGGAAATCAAGCTGCATATCTCCTTGGTTAAGAAATATTGTAATTTTAATTTTGGTTTCTTCAGAGTTTTGGCAGATCAGTTCTTGAACAGACTCACCCTCAGTCATGCTGTCATGCACTGCACAGTATGTTTCTGCACATTTAGAGGAAAAAAATCTGACAATAAATTTTAAGATATTAATTAAAAATTATTTTCAATTATTCCCTTTGTTTTTCTACCGTCCCTTCCATCTTGAGGAAAGAAAAAAATGCAGACCCTCCCAACTAAGAAGGTATTTCAGTTGGTGGATATCAGGATTACAGAGGGCATAATCCTTTTAGCTAAACCCACAGTTGTCAAATGATTGTGTTTGAAGGCACCTTAAAGATCATTTAGTTCCAACCCCCTTCCATGGGTTGGAACTTTCCATTAGAGCAAGTTTCTCAAACTTGAACACTTCCAGGGTTGGGGCAGCCACAACAACTCTGGGCATGCTGTTATTTGAGAGATATGCTGATTATCACACACACACATATTCACACAAACCAAAACTCAGCTCCAGTATGCTTCTGCCCTGCCCCCTGAACTCATTCTCCATGTTCTTTCTCCTTATTTGCTGAATGTCATTGTCATATAAGACCTAACTTCTGAGTCAGAGATGTAAATTCCACTTCCCAAGGCAGCTGTATTGGTCTTTTGTGTGTCCTTCTTCATGACAGATTCACTGGAGCAAATGGAAAAGTGACAATTACTGGTCTGGGACACAAAGAAGGTTTAACAGAAGGCTTAATTCCTCCTTCTGCTCTCAGCAGGGCCACTGTTCATGTAGCTTTCTGAGACATAACTTCTGGGGTTTTTGCCAGAAATTTTGACCAGGATGAAAAATAATAATTTAGTCACTTTTGAAAATTTTCTAGGCATCTGGCATGTCAGCCAGGCCCCTGACAGAAGGATGCCCCAGGTGACAGGTGACTGCAGGCATGGCCTGAGCACACAGTGCCCAGTGAACCCAACACAGCTGACTGCAAGTCAAGGCTCCACTGGCCAATACCTCCTGGACATAACAGGATAAATACTTGTATGCTTCCTAACCTATACACTGGTATTTCTTTGTGGGAATTCTTAATCAGAAATATGAGCCTAGTCATAATAAGTCTTAAATTATGGTAATTTTAATTAATACAGTGACCACAATGCAAGAATCTAGGTAATTGCATATCTGATAGAGTATACTGCAACCAGCAAAGGAAACATGATCAAATAAGGCTTTAGACAGGAGATTTTAAACCCTTTCTGTGGCTAGAGCCAAATTCCATTAGTAATTTTAGTTCACAGGCAAAGGTTTATATTTAGGACTTCATACAAGCATCAGCAGTAGTTACATTGCCTGCAGCATCAAAGTGTTCAGATGTAGCACTGAGCATTGTCCCAAGTGTTTAAAATACCATGAGCTAGTCCTTTGAATATCACTAGGTAAGCTAAAAAGACATGGTACTGGTTGTGTTTATCTTTTATTCAGTACAGCCAGGCCCTTTTTTTGTTTGGTTGCCTGTTATAGGAGGTGGATACTGGTTTAAAGTTTTTCTGTCCTTCACCATTGAAGTTGTTTATTTATTGAAGGTTTCTGCCCACCCTTGCTTCCCATCGCTCCCCTTCCCTCCCATGCCCCCACCGTCCTCAGCACTAAAGAAAGTACAGCATTATGAAAAAGTGTCTTTATATTTTTAAGGCATCTGTGAACTGAATGGAGAGAGAAGCAAAACTTTATTTTAAGTGAAATACAAGGTGAGATAGTCATGGAAAGGGAGCTGTTTTCCCCAGGTCAGGTTTATGGTGCAGATAGGAATTGAACACAACTCTTTCAACTCCTATATTTTCCAGCCAGACCATTTGATGCCTACTTCTATGGGCTTGGCTACGTGGGGGCAGAAGCAGGAAACGTAACTGGGCCAGAGCTGGTGATTGTGTGAAAAGACACAAAGGCTTCATCCCTAGCTGGAAGAATAAATTGGTAGGAAAAAACCTTTTTATTTTCCTGACTTGGACTGTGATTGAACCCTTGCAACACTAGCATTTAATTTTCTCGACTATTTGGGTGTGTCTCACAGGCTGTTCCACCGCAACCCAATTCCATGGCATGCCCACCCCCAGGCGATGTTGTCTACAAGTAATTAAATGCCCTGGCACTGAATCAGGCATGCTGTGGGATAGGGACTCCTATCGATTTGGGAACAATGTTTGAAATCAGAGGTATAATTTGGTTTCTATTTCTCTTAAAATCTGACACAAGCAGCTGCACCAGGCTGTGAGCTCTCCAAGGAGCCAGACATTCAACAGTGGTTACATCAGCCTTTAGCCTTTTCAGCACATTCAGCAGGATGGACTTTGTAGCTGTGAGTGTTTTCAGAGCTCAGTGCAGGAGGGAGAAAACCATAGCCATGAGGCCTGTATATGACAAGCTATTCCCTGTAGAAGCCATAATGTTGTGTGTGGGTCATCTATAAAACTCCATGCACTGACTACCATCTAATTTTGGGAGCTAGCATGGCAGAGCTTGTTCTGGGTATCAAGGCCGGGGTCAGGCTGAGGTGGGAGGTGAGCAGCAATTTTACTGCAGCAGTCTGTGTTCTGGCATGGGCTCCAAGTGCCTGAGCTGCCCTTTCTCAGACTATTGCCATCAGTACACGAGTTACACATGGAAAAACACAGTCATGAAGTCACAGGCTCTTTTGTGTCTACCTTGGGGTAAGGTAAAGGTATTTTTTTGTGACCCTTTCTTGGGGCAGAAAAAAAAACCCTACTAAAATATCTGTGGTTTGGCTATGGCTTGCATGGACATAAATTTGTTTTGACTTATCTCTGTAGGAGAGGTTTTATCTCTTTTGTTTTTCCATCACTTCCAGGGTCTGGAACATAAGTCTTATGAGGAGTGGCTTATCAGGAGCTGGGGTTCTCCTGAAAAGCTACAAAAATATATTAGTGAATGGTTAGTAGTCATAAGAATGATATAACAGTGTAGCTGGTGACATGATCAATGTATTTTCATTTAATTTTCAAAATTCAAATTTTCATTAGAAGTCTTTACATCTAATTGGGCAAACTCATTGCCATTTGTCCACGTTTGCAGTGCATGGTAGATATTCCCAGAACTTCTGTTATCATTAATATGGACTAACAAAAACTAAAAACAAAACAACCCCCCAGCATAATTAAAGACAGTAGAGAATTTACCTGGTTAGTACTGCTGCTTGTATTTAATTTCCTATATTTATTGTTTATATTGTTGGCATTTCCTTTTTAAAAAAATCTTCATGAACGCACACTGTTAGAAAAAGTGACAAAGGAAATGCTAAATATAGTAACTACCTGTTTTGCTCTCTGTGTATAAAGAAATAGAGTAATTTTTTTAACTGAATGACAAACCGTAGGTTTGGCTAAGTTACATGGGAGAGTTGTCTGGGACTTGGGTATTAACAAAGGATGAAGTCCATGCAGTTTTCATAATCACTTATAATTTAATAACTACCTGATATGGGCATGCACATTACAGTGTATTTGCAAACACCACCATAAATAATACAGTTCTTACATTGGTAAATTTTACCTATTTTATTATGCTTCATTTTTTAAAAAGTAGTAGGCTAACTACATCCCACTGAAATTATCCTTCCAAACCCCACATTTTTTGTGCATACAGCAGTTCCTCTGTTACTTTCTTTGCAATACAGTGGCCTCTACTTCCTTTCCAAACCTGTTGAGCAATATTGCGGTGTAATTCCAAACAGCTGCTGTGGTCACCCTATGTCTGTACATCAGTAGCAAGTGAAACGATTTCTATATATAGTTTGTAAATCTGTTGGCAGTGTTTGTAAAGCAGACTGAGACTGTTCCTGAGGAATAAGAGCAGCTCTGTGAAAGCAAGAGCATTAAGACTGTCCTTGTGTACCAAGCAGTTTATCTCTTTGGTGTGGCAGAAATGAGGAAATGGCCAGTCTGCAGAGACGTGAAGAAGCACTTGCTTTGGGCAAAATCCTGGCAGGAATAGTTTGTGCTGTCAAAGATAAGCAAGTTCATCTCACACTGTTAATACAGAACATGGCATTGTACTAACATGAGATGATTAAAAAGTATTGGCTGTGTAGGAAGAAAAGAAAACTGGGAATGGGAATGACATTTATTCAATAAGATTTCTTTTCCCCAATGTCTTCCTTATTTTAGTGTGATTCAGGTAGGCAAAAGGAGCAATAAATCCCAAGTCTGCTGCACCTTTGGCACCCAGTGGCATCCTCTCTGTATAATAAAATAGACCTCCAGGATCCATGCACAAAGGTGCCTGTGCAATGTGATCAGTGAGATTTCTTTCCTTTCATTAAAGGTTGAGAAATTTGTTAGTTCAGAAATGTTCTTATTTGCACTCAGATGTATTTTTGCCCCCAGTCCTTCCCTGCAGTCAGGTTTACCTGACTCCCCCTGACTCCCCTTCCAGGATGCATCCATACTATCTTCCCATCAGCAGCATTATCAGAGCCCATTCACTTCTTCACTCCCTCTTACTCTTCTGTGTTGATAAGTAAGGCAATGCAAACACCCCCACCACTGAAATACATTAGATTAGTGGTTGCTCTGTGCCTTGTTGGTATATGGTGCATAATTATGTCCCCAGCAACTGTTGAGAAAGCTGTTTTCAAAACTGATCTGAGCAATAAGGCAGCCCACATGCAGGTGTTTTTGAGTGAAAGCTGATTACTGTTTGTGATGGTCCAAGTTTTTAAACTACAGCCTGGACCTGGAATCTGCCCTCCTGGTAGCCTGGGGTGTGTTGCAGGGAATCTGTGGGAAAAACCTGTCTTTGAGCTAGAGTGCTGAATCTGATTCCCAAGCAAAGACTGGTTTTGAATCAGGGTCATGTTTGCACTTACCCCGCTTTGTGCTCCCCCAGCATGTATGACAGAAAACATCTTTTTCTTCTGTGTGACTCCGTGTTTACAGCATCACCCTGAGAGATGGAGTGAACAACAGAATCATCTGGCATTGAGAAAAGCAGCTGAAAATTTGTTTCTTCAAATACCTTCAGTGCATGCTTCATCCCATTTGCTCTGCTGATACCACTGTTAAATGTAGGTGATGACACATCCTTTTCAGGCACAGTACCGTGTGTGCGATTTTCACAAGTTATGCTAGTCTCCCAAGGGAAAGAGCTGCAGCCTGTCCCATCAGTCTGCCTCGTGGTCTTGTGTACTTGCCAGGCTGCTTGACCCTGTGTCTCTCCAGGATGGTTTGAATTCTGCATTCAACCTGGGCCTGTACACGCAGCATACAAAAACTGAGACATATATAGAGATAAATATATATATATATATTGCTATAGTGGGAGGGGGAGAGCAGGCAGTGAGGAACACGAGGGCAGGACAGAGACGTGCAAGGAGGAGTAGGAAGGAGAGGTCAGCAAACAGGCTGTGGAGGTGGCTGAGAACAGTGAGGGGCTTGCAGGGAAAGCAGGAGCTGGGGGGATGCAGGAGCAGGGATGGAGTAGGCAGCACAGCAGCAATAAGGCATGAAGAGAGAGCTCAGGGGCTGGTGCCTTGAGTGGACAGCACGAGGGAAGGAGTTGGTTGAGGACTGAGGGTTGCAAAAGTGGTGGTGGGAGGCAGGAGCAAGCAGCACTGCAGATGGGCAGCAGGAGACGTGGGGAAAGCCCAGCATGCTGTGATGCATTGTTTTTAATGTGCTCTATGGCAATTGGAGCTGTTCCTGCAATGTGGGACTGAGCTCAGTATGAGCCAACGCATCTGTCTGACAGGCTGTCCTCTGGAGCCGGGACTGAAATAGCCACTGTCCTGTGCCTGAGGACAAGGTTGTACAGCCCTCTCTTTCCTGCCTGTAGTTTTCCCTGCACTCATCTGAGTGGAAATATACATTTAACCGTGGGCTTTGTCCTGCTGAGGGGGGAGCACCGTCTGCCACGTGTCGCTTGTGGCCTTTAAGCAATTGAGCCAATGTGCCCCAAGTGTAGAAACGTGAGAAGAACAGAGTTCCTTTGGCTGCTGATTGAAATAATTAATTGCTTGAAAAGGCAAAATGGACACTTCAAAGGGTTTCCTCTTGTAAAACCAAGACAATAAATAATCTTTCCACCAGGTTAGGAAAGATGGAAAGTCTTGTCTGAAATCTAGCTGCTGAAAGCCAGGAACCCTGAGTGCCAAGGTCTACAGTGATAGAGTGAATCCTCCTCCTATAAAATGGATGCATCTCCTTTTCTCTCAGCTCAGGTTCTGAAGTGAGCAAACTTTTTAATAATTCTGTCAAATGAGAAATGAGTTTTCATGACCTATTGGTGAAATGGTTAATTCCCTGCATGCAGGATTTCAGCAGGGCATTAGGGAGGTGAGTTTGGGTTTCCTGTTCGGAGTTGGCAAAGCACTTCATCAAGTCATCACAAAGATCTTTTAGGTCATCAAGTTCAAGTGTTAGCCTAACACTGCTAAGACCACAACTAAACTGTGTTCCTAAGTGCCACATCTACATGTATTTTCAATACAGGCAGGGATGGTTACTCAGCTATGGACACCTGTTCCAATACTTGACAACCCATTCCATAAAGAGCTTTTTCCTAATGTCTAATTGGAGGATTCATCCTAAACAGCAGCCAATGTAGCCACTATAAATCTGCCTTCCTCTACTACATATGGTTCATGCTCTACTCACTGCCTCCTGTGATGGAAGAAGTTCCCTGTGCCACCTCACTAGCACACAATGGACTCTTCCTAAACTGTTTATAATGGTGTGACTGAGAACACAGAAATGTTTGCTCAGACCTCTGGGTCTTTTGCTTGGTTTTTTTTAGAAATCAGAACATGTATAGTGCCTGAGAAAGGAGACTATGAAACAGGAAGAAAATGTTTCAGGTAAGAATGCTAATAACAGGAAAACACAATTCCTCCTTTCTTTGTTCTGAGTTCCTCTTGGAAGTTGGAACCTGTGATCTGAAATGTTGTAAGGGTGGGAAGCTTCAGCCACGGCTGATGCCCAAAGGAACTGAGCCCTGATCAGCTGAAATGCTTGCATAATGCCAAATATTGCCAAAAAGGGAATCCAAAATTCCAAATTAGTGGGTACTTTAAGGCTTAAGGTTTCTGTACCTCTCTTCTTCTTCCTTAAAAAAGTGATAACCTTCATGTCCTCTGAAAAGGCCACTGGACAATTAAAATCATTGATAGCTTTACTATGCTGAAGAACAGGGGCAAAATAAAACATTGAAAGGCTATTAAATGTGTGTGATCCTTCCCATGCAATGAAAAAGAATAAAGGTTCTAGTAAAGGTTCTGACACTCAGGTGTCTAGGATCAAAGTATACATTAGAGAACTATGGAATTAAGGAATGTGTTTAAGTGCTCATCAGTAGGCAACAACAAATACTATTCCCACATTTTCTGACCTGTGAGCACTTGTCTTTACAGTTTTAGCATATTATTTTTTCTTTGTGTGTAACTTTCCATGTGCTACAGCCTTATTATTTTTATTAAAATTTTCCTATAAAGTGTTTGTGGTTCTTCACCTTTGGCCATTTCCCTGTAAAGAATAGGTCATAAAATACCATGAGTGCCATCCAGGATCAAGAAGGGAAACAAACCTCTTATAACATCACCTGACTGCCAATTTTCCCCCTGCTTCAGGGGAGAAATGTGCAAGAAAGTACCTTGTCCATCTTTAGTAATGTTTTTAAATTATCTTATGGCTAGGGTGGACATCATTGGCATTTTTTGTAGAAAAAACATCACCACTGGCCCAGTGTTGTATCATGTCTCAGCAAGGAGCAGCATTGAAGGTAATATTCATGTTATTTAATATTCCTTTGGAATATTATTTTAGAAGTGAATAATACATGCTGCTTTTTAAAAGTTTCTTTAATTTTGGAAAATTTTGTTTATAGATACAAAACTTTGAATAGACAATTTAAACATATCTGTATGTTTGTACTTTGTATAATGGACTCTCAGCTCAGGAAAATTGAAAGACTTACAAATTTTGTTGTACCTGACAAAAAAGGAAGAGCGGAAAACTGAGATTTTTTTTCTGGAAACAGTATATTTTATTTCCATTCATAAACAGTATATTATTTATTTTCATTTTTAACAGCATATTTTTGCTTTTAATATTGTACATATCAGTGTTGTACATATCAACATTGTACTAATAAAATATGGCATATTTCTAAAAGCATTTCAGTTTCAATCAGGATTTTCCAACAGAAAATATGTCCAGTTCATATTTCCTAACTCCATCAAAATATGTTTGCAACAAAATGTTGTCAGCAAAAATGCACTCAAGAAATATAACTTTATTGTGCTGCTTCTCTGGCTAACTCCAATGATAACGATGTGAACCATTGTCCTAGACATATTAAAGAAATAAAATTGCTTGCAGTGCAGCTATATACAGATAATTATTGCCTATGTCAGTTCTACCAAAAAGCATTGATAATGCCAAATTAAGAGAAAAAGGAACTTATATTTTCCTAGTCTTTCACATTTTTCAGAATTTGGCCCAGGCTTCATTCTGCAGGTGCAGCTGAAAGAGTGAACAGAACTCCTGTGGACCAACTGACCTGTGTGTGTGCACTTGGCCCATCATGGGACCTTATACCATGAAGGCCTAAGGGTGAAGGTAACACTCTTAGCTCCATAAGCCAAGCATCTGCCTCCTTTTTATTTTATCCAAAGATTCTGTCAATGTAAATGACCTGCAAATATTTATTTTATATTAAGCTGCATGATCATCTTATGTCTGCTTTAATAATGTGTTTTGTAAGTTAGGAAAGATTAAGGTTATAAGCTTTCATACCATTTCTTGATCAAAATAACTGCATGAAGTTCATACAGACAAATTATCAAAGGAAAAATATAATTTCTTTGAGCATGATTTTCATAAAGATCTGATAATCTCCTCTCTCTACTGTCAGTAAAGTTGTATGCATAATAATGAAACTAAATGAGCAATTTGGCTAAACAACATACCTCAGTGCAGGTGTCCAATCCATACTGACCAAAGAGATGATGTCAGAAAAGAACAATAGTTCAAATTATGTTCACTTACATTTCCATTAATATTGGCTTGACCATCTAAAACACACAGTGTATTATCATTTAAGAAGGTTGATACATGTTGTTATAGATGTATTCCTACTTCCATGTATAAAACCTTCTCTCTTCCTGTCTCTCCCCCTCTCTCAGAAAACAGGTTGGCAGATATTGGTGGCCAGCATGTTTCAGAAGATGTTGCTAGCTCACCATCATTCACTGCTAAATAGAAAAAATAAAAAACCAAAAAACAACATCAGAAAAGCAAACAATAAACAGTACACAGTTTAATCTTTCTTTTTGCAATTCTTCTTACTGAAAGATGCCTATCAATAAAAATAATATCAGAATAATGTAAAATCTATTAGCAGAAACTATTATGTAGCTAAACATTTAAAATAAAGAATTGAAGGGCTCTCTCCAGCTGCGCGTCAGTCAGTGACAGCGAGCAACAGCCATTAAAAGAATAGCCACTAGATGCCTTCAGTTGCTCGGCCTGTCAGAAGTGATGAAGGCACAGCCCCCCTGCCCAGCCAGGGCTTGTTACCCTTAAATCTCTGGGTGACTCTGTCCATTCCCCCCGGCACAGCACAATTCTCCACGTGAACAAAACTCTCACAGGTGCTCCAAAAGGACATGAACAGCTGATTCTCACTCTGGTAGTCCTAGAAAAAATAAGGGAATGAGTAAAAAATTCAGCTGTGTGATTTGTTACAGACAACGTGTGGCACTGCGGGAGCAGTGCTCCCCACAGCTGCCGACCTCCTCCCCTTGGCTGCCTTTCCACCGACCCCAGCCGCCTGCAAACACCTTGGGATAACAGCATTCCACTAGAAAACTGTGAGAGGAAGTCCACAGAACAACAGCAAGGGTGTTTTATTTCCAGCCCCTGTGACAGCTCAGGATTAAATGGATTTTCATTGTTCTTTCCCCACTGCAATTTGGACACGATGCCAGTGTAAGTGCGCCCGGGGTTTTATTTGGTGCCGCCCCCCCGTCTGCGAGGCTGGTATTCTCCCACTAGCTGCCTGCTCTAAATATGGCCATGGCCAGTGTGTCAATAATCCCCCTCTTTAAGGGACTTGCAAACATTAGTGTTGGGACATTCTTGCTGTTCAGATGTCTAGCTGACGTCTGATGCTTAAAACGGAGCATGCTTTCATCCCTTCATGCATTGTCGTAAGGCCCCGATGATTACTCTTAAAAGGGTGCCTCTGCCTATGCAGGGAAACAGTTGCTGACCACCCCAGACACAGCTTGCTTGCTTCAGCCTTCTTGAATGCCTGGTCACTGTAGCTTTGTACCAGCCTGACCAAGCAGGACCATGTCTACCTTTGGGTACAGAAGAGAGCTCAGTAAATATGAAGACATTGATGAAGATGAGCTCCTCGCTTCTCTCACGGAAGAGGAGCTGAAGGAGCTGGAGCGGGAGCTGGAGGACATAGAGCCCGACCGTAACCTTCCAGTGGGACAACGGCAGAAGAGCCTGACGGAGAAAACACCAACAGGGACTTTCAGCAGGGAAGCACTGATGGCCTACTGGGAGAGGGAGACCAAGAAACTCCTGGAAAAAGAGAGGTTGGGTGCATGCGAGAAGGTAAGGTGCTGAGGCATTTGCTGTTTCCTATAGATATTTGGTTTTATTCTGCATTGGCATGATCTCACTGACTGATTTAATTTCTTTTCAGCCTCTTGTAGCATTTTTAAGAACATTGTTAGCCAGACCTCTGTGCCTGCTAAAGCACTGAGTATTAGAGAGAGTGTTTGCTCTCTCTGGAGGTACCTTAAGTGCTCAGCTCAGAACAGAAGAAAGTGCCATAAAAACTATCACTAATGATTAAAATAGGAACAAAAATTAAAGGGCATGTTAGAAATTATTAATAGGTAGACATGTGGGCTTTTGGATAGCATTTGATTTTTTAGGAAAGCTACACAAAATGCCTTTTCCTTTCCTTAAAAAACAACCAGTGTTGACTGCTGAGAAACACGTAAGGAAGATAATTTTGAGTACATGTTATGTCAGAATTTGAGTAAGCGGATGCCAGGCTTTGTGCTCGCTGGAAGAAAGCGGCTTGTGTTGCAGTCAGCAGCTTGTGTTGCTTTGTTCCTGCTGAGGATCCTTGGCATGGTTCAGGAGTCTTCTGGCAACTGTAGTCGGAGGGCAGCTGTACATTATTTAAAAAGTGGCCTGGGATAGAGTCATCAGTCAAGCCATTTAACTGCATTCCCTAAAAAACAACCAATAGTGTTTGTTAAGCAACTCGTTCCCCAAAATAAAAATGTTCGTAATAAAAGCCATTTCCTGAACTGCAAATGGAGAGTACAGCTGGGCAGGAGTGAAGGGCTCAGTCTTGGCAAGCAGTGAGCGCTCTCAGTCTCAGCTGATGTCCATGTTGGCACTCCTGATCCTTGCTGAAAGTGTATGTGAGACTGAGCCCAACCAAAAAGCAACTTCTATTTTCATGATGGTTCCATGTAATTTCAAAACAAAGTGGGGACTTGGGGATTTTTTAAGCACTGCTTCATACTGAGCTTTTGCTATGTTTATGGGGCACATTTTCCCACATTTAAGCAGAAAGTAATACAATAAAGGCAAAGACAGCAAAACTGAACTTAGAACCTCTAACAGCTTGATGCAGGAGCTTATTTAATGTGCAAGGAAATAATTGCAGTTTATACATTAGATAAAATATCTTCCTAGAGGAGAGTCAGATAGATTAAAATGCAATATCCAGGATGTTTTTACATGTAAATATTTTCTCTTGTTTGTGAATGGCAGTATAAGGTCTTTGCAGGCAAGAGCACAGACCAGTAGCTGTCATCAGACCATTAGTATCAGCTTGCAGACATTGACTTCACTCCCTGTTTGTCAGTCCTAGAGAGTAAATGGCAAGATTAATGTTTATTTCCAGCTTAGCCTGGAACTCGAAACATGGGCACTTCTAAAAATCTTATACAATGGCAGGATCTTTCTTTTTTTTTTTTTTTTTTTCTTTTTTTCTTCTTTTTCCATGTATATACAGCATTAATGATGGGTACTGGCTAAACTTCCAAGGCCTGGCAAAAGATTCTATACTTTTTGATCTGAGAAAAAACTTTCAAAATGCATTCTTAAATTAGAAAAGGTTCATATGCTGATATAAAGGTCACAAAGACTCTCTCCACTGATGGCAATGAGAAAGGTCCTTGAAAACAATTTTCTTCTTGCCTTCGACTGTTTGGAAGTTATGCACCTTTATCTAAGATGGTTATTCATGCTCCTTCTATAGTTAGTGGTGACAGATCAGCTGGTCCAAAAGGCAAACAACTTGCAGATAGCCTTTTAGGGTGAATAACTTGTCCTCCCAAGAGATTTACCTCAGCATTGACTCTCTTAGTCCTAACTTTTCATCATATTACTCCCACAAAATAAGGTGAAGCCCTACAGGTTGCCTGCAGTGGTCCTGTACCACAATGCTGCTACAGTAGGAATATGTCTCCATGTTCAATTTCAAAATTATCATGCACATTATTGTGACACCAGACAATGTACATGACAGGCAAATAAATTCTGCCTTTGACCTCAGAAATGTCACTCAAAAAAAATATCAAGTAGATTTTTATTAATTTAACATCACTAAACATATCAATAGTGAATTTAAAGGCACCTCCTTTTGCTCATGTGTAGTATATATTCCTCAGTATATAAAACCAAAGCCATGAAGACAGGGTTTTGGATACCCGGTGTTTTCAGGCATTATAGAGAAGATATATATATTCAGACATATAGAGAAGATACAGCTATAAATCTTAATCCCATACCAAGCCTATAGGTAGCACAGTGTCTCTCAGCGTAAGGGCCTTGCTGCACATGTTCTACAGGACAAGCACCAGGGCTGGGTCCTACAAGATCTCTGTGTGCGGGCCAGTGCAGTCAGACCCTGCCAGACCCCAGGTACTGAATGCTCAGGAGCACCAGGCAGAAACAACTCAATGTCCTGTTTCATTAAGAGTCACAGTTCTGCAAACATTACAATTAGCATCTTTTTTGCATATGTCCCAGCACAGAATTCTACTGAAAATTGTGAAACACTACCCTGCATTTTAACAGTTCTCTATTTTCAGAGCCAGATAACTAAGCAAACCTAAAACTGCACAGGTTGTCTAAAAATAGGCTGTCCTGTTAGTAACACTTTTGTTTTCCAGAAACAGAATCACTGTGTCTCTGCAGAGTGTACTCACTTTGGAAAATACAATCTAGTATTTTACAGAGATTAAAACACAAGTATTGCTAAAGTAGTGCATACAGAACAATCATAATTCTTTCAAAGTTTTACAAACATTTACAATTGTAAAGAAAAATGTGTACCTATAGTTTTTCCAATAGGCAAAACATGACATGGAAAACCTTTTGAACCAGAGTTTTAAGGTTGGTTGTAGATTCTGGGTTCTGCCACAGCCCATAGATCCCCATCATACTACTGGAGTCCTCCATGGGGAGAGCGAGTCTTTCCTGGGGTGAAGACCTTCCTGCTCCTCTGCATAAAGTTCTCTTTAGCCACCATAATTGCTAAAGGCAGCATACAGAGCTTTGGGGCATGGTTCCAAATTTGCCTTCCTGGTACCCACCAAACACACCAAAATAACCTTGTGTTTCAGAAAAACAATGCATTTGCTCTGTAGAAATGAGTTATAACAATTTACAGTATGGCGGGTGACCCGTGACAGCTGGCGGTGAGCCCCAGCTTAGCTCCTGACAAACACGAAGAAATTCAGGGGTTATTGACATGTGGTTGTATCTTACCTGTGGGAATGCATCTCAATCCTTTCTTCACAAATAGTTTATTATTATGTGCAGCCCATGCAGTACATCCAAAGTATTTTTGACATGACTTCTGTAATCCTGTACTGTTTTGCATGCTGGCATACAAGACCACACATGCAGACACTATTTGTATTTTAAAGCATGGCAACCTTTAATTTTTTAGACATACTAACATATGCAAGGGAGTCTGAGATGTCTGAGATGTCCTCATGAAATGAAGAAGCTTGTTGCTCATGTTCATTCTGAAATTGTTGTCTTATGTTTCTGCTGTCAAGGATCCAAATTATATCCCCTTGTAGACATGCCAACACATAGAAAACCTGAAGTATGTCCATGTCATAATATCTTGTATCAAGTTTTCTTTTGGCAGAAAACACTAACATTGGTAAAGTGTTTGCAATTTATGCTAAGCATTTTCTAAAGAATGTAAAAGAAATAATGTTACCTAGGTGTTAGATGAATCATTTTCTGTTCTTCTAACTGTATCTGTTTGTTTTTATAGTTTTCAATGTTAATTTATATAATGTCAGTATAATTGTTCCTGTGCTAAAAGGCAGCAGTTGCATTACTTCAATCATGTTTAACACCCACACCTACATTCCTGTTCAGGATTCTGAGCAAGAAGAGGACAATTCAGAAGAACTTCAAGAAGAATGTTTCACAGAAAGCAATAGTGAAGTGTCTGAGGAGGCATATACTGAAGAGGATGATGAAGAAGAAGAAGACGAAGAGGAAGATGAAGATGAGAGTGATGATGAGAATGAGGAAGAGCAAAATGCTGCAGCTGGCAGGCGTTCTGACCACATCAGACACAAAAAGTGTAATGGTGCAAAGGACAATGAAAGCTTCCTCAACGGCCATGATGGAAAAGACAGTGATAATCGGAGTTCAAAAAGCAGTGCCATCCACCCTTGTGGAAATCCAACAGTTATTGAAGATGCTTTGGAAAAAGTTAGGAGCAACGACCCTGACACCACTGAGGTCAATCTGAACAACATTGAAAACATCACTTCACAGATGCTTATACAATTTTCTCAAGCCCTGAGGGACAACACAGTGGTTAAGTCATTCAGCTTGGCTAACACCCATGCTGATGACAACGTGGCAATAGCTATTGCTGGTATGTTAAAGGTTAATCAGCATATAACTAGCCTGAATATTGAGTCAAATT